ACCGTTCCGTTGTCATCGGGCGAAGTAAACACCCCACTTCGTAAAAAGCCGACCGGGCAGCGCCGGGCTGCTTGAGCTAACCGTGGCCACACTACCAGCGCGGCACGTGCTGAGCGCGGACGCAGTGTTTCGATCGCGTGCCGCCGGCAGCTGACAGCGGACGGCCGCAGCCAGCCGGTCGCCAGCCTCCGCCCGTCTGGCCGCGGCCTGTGCTGCAAGCACGGCTGACGTGCGGCGGCCGGAGACACGGTGGCAGCGGCGTGACCGCCCCACAGCCGGCGTACGAGGAGCGTGCCGGTGCCGGCGGGGTGCTCCTGCCACAGGCGGTCCGAGGCCGCCACCCCCGCACCTCCTGAGGCGTGCGCCCCGGGCGGCCCGTCGGCCCCTCCCCTCCCCCGCGCCAGGATGCAGCGGTGCCGGCGGCCGGCGCGGGTCGTGCGCACAGCGTGCGCGGTGTCCGGTGTCCGGTGTCCGGTGGCGCTCCTTCCGGGCTGCTGTATCGTGGTGACGTCACGCGCCCAGCCGGCTCGGCGGCCCCTGGGGCTGGCAGGCGGCCGCTCCCAGGCGCTCGCCCATGGGTGGAGGACGCCGCCGTCGCTCTTCTATCTTCTGCTCCGAGGACGGGCATGGCACGGCTCGAGGGCGGAGTGTCTCCAGTTCTGCGACCGGCGGAGCGCAGGGGCCTGCCTTGTTCTGGCAGCGAGACATCCGCGGTCTCTGGGAGCGACCTCCGGCGTCGGCCGGCTCGGCCGATCCCGTCTGTCCCAGTCTGTCTCGCCGGCATTCATCCGTCATCCGCTGGCCGTCTGTCATCCGTAGTCGCAAATCAGTCATGCACCATCTAGCAGACGTCAAGCGACGACATCATCGGCGGATGTCATGTGTCATCAGAAGTTATCTGTCATCCGCCATGTGCCACATGACATGAAACAGACGTCATCATGCGGCATCAACTCGTACGTCTAGTTCCGATCTCCACTCGTTGGCGATAGTGGCAGAACCGAACCGCGTTCCCCGTTAGTGGTCTCCAGCCATCTGTCGTGTGGGCCGAAGGTCAGCTGTGCTGTGAATCGGCCTGCCCCCCAGGGCGACCTCGTCTCGTTGCGGGCCTCGTCGGTCAGTACGGTGCCGGCCAGTTAGCAGCAGTCATTCGGGGACACCACGTGACGTCACCAACCGATCGGCCCAGACTGATGACGTCAGCGCGGGCCGGCCTGGTGCGGCCTCAGTGTAGCGTTCACATAGCTCGGCTCCGGAGGACAGGGACCTCGGATAATCTGTGGAGGTCATGCGAGGGGCTTGGTGGCTTGCTCAAACGACGATCGTGCGCTGGCACAGAGCGCTGGCACAGTGGCGGTGATCGGGGCACGGCTGTGTCACCGACTGGCAGACGCCCTGAGCTGGTGACTCATGCTCCGATGATATCACCAAGTGTCGGCGCGGTTTAAAACTGAAGAGCATCTTCTGCTCTAAACCAGGCCACTGCTGGCCTCGCATGTCAAACCTGATCAAAATAAACGCCGTCCTCTTGGTGCTGGCAGCCTTGCGGGGCGGTCCGCGATGAAAGGGTTCATTTCGGCGCCGCCCACCGACCAGTCTCAAAAGCTCGCGCCGACAGGTGCCCTGCTTACCAGTCAGCATCTCGCCTCTTCCAGCCATCCTGTAACATTTCCCCGGAGCGACCAGAGACCATCTTGCGGGGCTGAGCGCTGGCCGCGGCCGAGAGCTTACACAAGGTCGACGCCGCCGCTCGGGGACTAGAGCGCCGGCTGCCGACGGCGCTCCTCGGCCCGCGGCCGGCGCCGCGTCCGGGCCGCGGCGGCTGACGGCCCCGCGGCCGTGGGAGCGTCCAGCGGCCGATGCACGTCATTATCGGCAGCGTGTGCCGGCCGCCGCTCGCCGCCGCTGGTGAGGCGCGCGCGCTCGTAACCGCGGCGCGTCATTGCCCGTCCCATCTGGCGACCGTCTGGGGTGGCCGTCTGGGTCTGGTCGAGGTGCCACGCCGGACTCGCAGACAGCCGGCCGTGTCCACCACTCAGGCCATGTGCTCCACTCCTCGGATTGCTGAAGCCGTCCGGCACACACCTCCGCCTCGAAGGCTCGTCGCCAGACTCGGCTAGTTGTGACGTCACGGCGGTCTGCTGGCCCGGGCTCGCCCGCCGGTACAGACGCGGACATGCTGCCGGACGATAGCTGGATATTCGCGAACAAATGCCGCTGCTCAAGGCGTATCTGCAGCCGTGAAAACAGGACTGCAGGCCGGCCGCAATTACAGGGCGTCCGGCCGTGAATAAGACACTGACGCGGGATCTGATGTGCGGGGCGCCGCCGCGGCCGGCGGCCGCTTCTACGTCTCGTCTATCCGTCTCCGCCGGCACGGCGCCAACTGCGCCGCCAACGAGCGGGAGCCCCGCCCATCCGGCGGAGGCGCGTCCACCGGGGCAGCGGCCCACGCTGGTCTAGAAGTCGGCAGTATCTGCCTCTGGGGAGCTCTCTCGTGGTTGCTCCACAGCTGCGCCTTCCATACGGGGACTGGCGTTGTGGTCCGTGTCAGTAGACAGGTCTGATGCGCCGGTTTGGCATTCTGTGGTACGTTTTTGCAACACGTGCTAGCACCAAGCACGCATCCATAGGACATGACATGCGCCACACGTGCTGTCTGTCAGGACCCCGTGCTCTGCGCGTGTTTGCGTGCACCCGTGCGCGTGGCGCAAGTTGCGTACGTCTCGTGTCGTGTTCCACGCGTCACGTGCGCGCGCGCGAGGCGGCGCGCCGGCGGCCCACCCGATTGGCCGGGGCTGGCGCAGCCTCAGGGGATCTTGGGCAGTGTGCTGGCCAACTGGGCAGCGGCGGCAGCAGCAGCCCGTCCAGGTGCATCCGCCATCGCCCGGCCGCGCCGGCCATCACCAACATACGCCCCGCCCCCCGGCCGTGACGTCACGCCGCCTGAATGGCCGAGCCGCCGCCGCTGCCGCCGCCACCGCCGCCGCCGGAGACGGAGACGGAGGACGACGGCGGGCGGACGCGGGGCGTGCCTGTGGCCGACCGACGCTGAGGCGTGCGCGTCACGTGGCCGACTGGGACCCCGTGTGCCGCGGTCGCTCGGTCACACGTGACCCCCGGCCACCGGCCCACTCTGCAGGGGCACTATGACCGCGTGCTTCCCGTCCCCGTCGGCCATGGTGGGAGACCACAGGGAGCGTCACGCCAGCAGCCACACGTCGCCGCCCAAGCTCGAGGTGATCCAGGACCTGGACCTCTACTACATCCATCAGCTGGCGCGCAACAGCAAGGTACTGGCGCCGCTGCGCTGTGGCGTGTTTGCATGTCGTGACACGCAGTCACGAGCGGCGTGTTCATCTATGGCGGCGGTTGTCCGCACGCCGTCGTAAGGAGTCATGAGGGGCAGGGACTTTCGAGTGTCAACCAGCGCCGGTGGCGAACAGCTGCTGGAATGACGGTGGAAGCACGCTTGTTGTGGTGGGAGGCAGTCGCATATTATTCATGCCGAACGACTGGGGGTGCGTCAGTCGGACTTGTGACTGATATCGGGGTGGCAGGCTTCGATTACGAAATGTACTGCAGGTTACTATAGCAAGGTAAAACGCCTACGTGGTGTTCTTTCACTCATTGCGGGTTATGTCCTGCGCTGAAACCCAGGACTTGCCTAAAACGGGGCCTAAACATGACAACGTGCCAAAAGATGAACACATCTTGGCCACGATGTTGCGTAGAAAGACCTGGCGCAAAAATGTTACTCACCTCATTTTTGAACAAATTTCGTTACTTCTCCCTCCTGCCACTCCGACAGGGCACATTGTCTATGGCACCAGTCAGTCATCACTTCATGGTGCCCCCGATGCAGACCAGGTCCAGTGAGGCCCGAACTGGCCTGGCGCTGTCCGCCACCTGCAGTGTGCCACACTTCTGTCCCCGTCTGTAACTATCTGGTTGGCTGGCTGTCCGGGCGCCGGCGGGCCTGTCTGGTTGGCTGTCCGGGCGCCGGCGGGCCTGTCTGGCTGGCTGTCCGGGCACCGGCGGGCCTGTCTGGATGACTGTCCGGGCGCCGGCAGGCCTGTCTGGCTGGCTGTCCGGGCGCCGGCGGGCCTGTCTGGCTGGCTGTCCGGGCACCGGCGGGCCTGTCTGGCCAACTCCCCGGACGCCTCATGTGGGTACATTTACATTGCTACATTACATGTCTATTCTCTCCTCATGTGGGTAGCATAAATACATTTACAAGAGTACATTTAGGTTACTATGTCTTGATGTTTTCCTTTAATACCTGAGGACTGTGTGGCAAAAGGGAATTAAAAATTGAGAATGAATTTCAAGATATTGCATCTTCCATGATCCTTCAAGGAGGCCTGCATTCCGCGGGATTTGCATAAGCATGACGTGCTATCTTGTAGGGATCCATGTCTTTACAGCAGAGTAAGATGGAGATGGAAGAAGGAGAAGGGGGGGGGGGGGGGGGGGGTCGTAAGCTTGTGGGCTCAGCTGCGGTTTGTCCGCGTTCCGAGAAATCGAGACCCTCAACGAAATGCGATCTTGAGGCCCTGGGCCTTGATCGATTTTATGACCATTGGACGGCTCTGTTGACGACCAAGCTACTTACAGAAAATGCATAGAAACAACAGAGAGAAGGAACCGCAAAATGTTTGTGGACGTTTCGCTTCATTTCCATCACTTTCATGCAATATCTGCTCGACGATGTATGTTTTAGTGGCCTGAGCTTTGCTGCTCCAAAACATTGTTTCTCCTTGTTCTTGAAAGGTAGTTGGAGAACTACAGAAACTATACATGTATATACAAAATTATATTATCAATCTATTTCTCATCATTCCTGATATTTTGTTCTATGAAATATTTTTGCCAGAATATCAATAGCTAGGTTATTTCGGTCAACAATATTACAAACACCGCTGACAGCGGTTGCTAGGCAACGCATGCGCAAAACAATATGCCGCCTGTTCACATTCGCTTTGTGCCGTTGCGCGGGGCTCTGCAGGGTTGACGAGCGTGCTATGTTTGTTGTCCGGTCACATTCCTCGGATTGATTTAGAAATATCCTCCAAGAACAACGGTGAGTTCGATTGAAGGTGCTGCATGTGATTTTGAATGGCAATGCGGCATCGCAAAGCAAAAATAATTTCAAAACCTATCAATACGGGCATACCAGTCCTGTTCTGCCCGTGTTCGGTGATTCGTCCCCTTTTAGTGTGATTGTGCATATACATGGGTGGTGCCACTGGTTGATGGTCAAGGATAGCAGAGTATGTTTGCAGGGAATGGATGATGCTGGGGTTGTGTGCATCATTAGTTATAATTTCGGCGAAGGAATGTTTTTTCTTCTTAACCTTGCCTGATATATCATCCTATAAGTTATATTTCATTTCAAAGAGTACAAAGCATGTGCCAAAAGTAGCCATTAACCCTGCTGTTATCTGCATAGATATTGAGATGTTTGGCTCCAGGGGCCTGCAACAGTGTATTGTTTTATTCTTTACCACATAATAAGAGTGCTCTCCCTCTTGTTTCGGACACTTTTCAGGCCATTTTTGAAGCAGCATTATTGAGAAAAGAAAAGGAAAACAGTGGCGTGAACTCCCATGAGAAACTTTGTGTTCAGGCTACATATACAATTCATGTCAAATCAGGATTGAGTATTGCATTATTTCAAAGAAATCTGACTAACCTAGGTAAACCTAGTGTTGTTTATCAGTTGCTGCTGCTGGTGAAGCTTGAGTAGTTTGGTTTTGTTTTGTTTGTGGGTTGCGAGCACGCCTGCATGCAATAGTGGCACTGGGCGGCGTTCCTTACCTTCCCGACGACAATGTTTGCGGAGGGAAGAGCGTCGGCTTAGGTCTGTAATGAGGACCGGCCAAGGCTATCTAACGAGGTAGAACCGTCCGGTCCGAAAAAGTGGCAAAATAGAGCTTGCTTGAGAAAAGAGGTAGTTTGGAAGCAAAACCTGCATGACGTCAAGTATACCATGTTTGATGACGTCAGTGGCACGGAGCCCTGTCACTTAGCCAGCTGACTGTTACACAACCCATTAATTTGAATAGTGGGCATGTCTCGGTGGCGTGCGGCTGGCGGTTACCCGTTGGACTGAGAAGAAATTATCCGTCATTTCGCTATTCGCACACATTTCTGGAATGAGCAGTGAGTCATGGAACAGTTAAGCCTCATCAGAATTTACGATTTTTGCATGTATGATGATATAACACGGGATTATATGCCATGCGGCGTTTGTGGCGCATTGCATTCCATGACCAGGCATGTCGTTAGATAGCCGTAGGCTTGTCCATGCCGTTTGTGCCTGGTGGCAGAGTTGAACAGCTCAGCTTGCATAATTTACTTCGCCCATAGGTATGGTTATATGAACATTTGCAATCTTGATTTGTAATAGCTCTCGCTCTTCTTATCAGTGATGTGAGTGCAGTAAGGTAAGTACAGTAAAACCCTATGATATTGGCTTTATGATGCTGCTGTCAAGTGTTTCCTTATATCAGGGTTTGTACACATATGCATAATAAAATGTTCACAGACTGATCATTTTAAATGCTACCAATTGTTCAAGACAAACTGCTCACGAGATCTCTCGTACAAGGCGTAGTCATGGCAACTGGCCACAACCCACTGATATAAGGCGCCAATCAACTGCGACACGCGATGCGCTACAAACGCCGCATGACGTTTTACCCTAGTTATGTACAACCCACGGAAGAATATAAAATTGTGATGAGGTCGAACTATTCCGAGATTCAATCTCCCTTCCAGAATTGTGTTTGCATGAAAAAACCGTGGACCACTCATTCAGAGTCCAACCGGGAAGCGCCAGCCGCACGCCCCCAAAACATACTCACCATTCAAACTAGTGGGTTGTGTAACAGTCAGCTGGCTAATTGGGAGGCTTCCGTGCCACTGACGTCATCAAATATGGTATACCTGACGTCATGCAGGCTTTGCTGCCAAACTACCTGTATTCTCACGCAAGCTCGATGTTGCCACTTTTTGATAGTGTTAACCGATACGGATGACACCCCCCTGGGACCGGCCGATCAGCCGACGAAACGTCGCTGCCAGGCTGGATAAATCATCCCAGTGACAAGTTTTGTGCCCCTCATGACGTCACTGGTAGAAATGTGAAACATGGATTTCTTTTACTTCTCACAGTATCACAAGGATTTACAAGCCACTTATGATGACAATATTGAAAAGCAAGCAGGTTTTCGTAATAACACGTGTCCTGCATCCCACTGATGACGTCACTGGACGAATGAATCGGTCATCAGTTGAAAAAGTTTCAGTGGGACACGTCTTTCGGGCTGTGTTTTGCCGCTGCTCACGACGTTCCGGGGGACTGTTACGGTGTACGTGCATGTACCTACGTGCTCGCGGTTTACATTCTCATGGTGATGCCGTTTGAGAAAATGAAGTTAAAAAGTGAACTGCAATTTACCTGCTGCTCGTAAGGTCCAAGTGATCCATGAACAAACCGCATTTAGACATGTCCACACTAAGTTGCCAGTGGGGCCGGAGAAAGGCGTGAACTGACTCAACGTTTTCGGCTACCGGCATCGTCTGTCTCTAACAAACATTCCAAAATAGTGTCCATCGGTGCAACCGTTGGCGGACACCATTTTCACACGATTTAGACGGCAATGGCTTCTCCTAGACTTGAAGCGCGAGTTCCGTAATTGTTATGGCACCCTCACCATTACACACTTTCTGAGAATGTGTGTAGAGCATTAACGTTATGACAATGGATGGGAAGAATCGACTACAATATGACTATGAGCTCCCTTATTTTCTGAGACGTTCCTCCGTCTACGTTTCGGGTGCCAACGCCAGACCTCGCATGACATTTGCAGCCCAACTCTTCAACTTACCTTCCGGCCGTCCGCCATGAACTGTCTAATTTCAATGCGTGACGTTGCTGTGCTGCGTTTGGAAACGACTGCAGGGTGTTTGAAATTATTCCTGAACAAAATGCCTCTTAGGTTAATCCACTTCGAGTCAATGATATGGCCGTTGATGCGCTAATCGTAATTATTATCTTTCGGCCGTCAGCGTTATACACCTATTTCAAACGTGCTAAATTACTTTCAATCGATGCAACTATCAACAACACCATTTTAAGAAAGTGTTTGATAAGGACAGGCCATGCTGTCGGCCAATACGTAAAGAGCTGTATTTTAAGCCTATCACCGGCCCTGTTGGTAACTCTTGTTCTTTTGTGTGCTTGCTGGGATAAGTATTGCTTTTCCACATGTCATATGCGATTGTTGGACTTGATTTTTCAGGTGAACATACCTTTGATGGTGTATACATTTAGCCACATCCATACCGTGTCTCACGCTCGAAGGCTCGTGTGGGTATTGCGTGGGCCTTAGCGCACGCTCTGGTTATGTGCCCTGGAGGCCGCGTTACTGCCCGTGACAGGCTAACCGGGGCTAGAATATTTCAGATGCTGTTTGAACAGCTTTAGAATTATGTCCACTAGTCGTCACTCCGATAGAAACCACATTAACACGTTTCAAATGGACAAATGATACTGGCGGCCGAAACGTAAAGAATCCGCCCATACCTGTCACCGGCCCTGCTGTCAACTCTGCTTCTCTGTTGCGCTCGTTGGGATGTATGCTGCTTTTCCGCGTGTCATATGTGAACGTTGGACTTGATTCTTCAGGTAAACGTACCTCTCATGGTATACACATTTAGCCGCCTGCACACCGTGTTTCGCTCGCAGGCGGGTGGGTATTGTTTGGGCCTTAACGCCAGGGACGTCATGTGAGGTCATGAGAAGCACAAAACTTGATGACCATTGCGACGCGGCAAAGTCATGTGTTTTTGTTAACCTCCCAGCGCGACACCGTCCACCTGGTAAGCGTCGTTCTAGTGAACGTTGGCCAAATAAGACCGGGTGTCAACACTTCAGAAGCTTTTCTAAGAAGACGATGCTTGCAGGACCTTGTCATCATCGCGGTAATAGCTCTTCGCCTCGTGTTCTGATGGCTTTTGTGGTTGGTTTTGCAGTTAGGCCAACAACGCATTGCAAGTTATGCGTGACAATTATTTTCTGCAGTCTCCTGTGTGTGGTAGAACGTGAGTAATCAAACTATTGGTGGGTCTGTCCGTCTAAGACGTTTTTCGGTTAGAGTTCACACATTTAATACGGAGTTCAAGGAAAAGATCCTGTGTGATTGTGAACAAGACGGTTTTCCATGGGTGCCACTTTAAGAGACCATCACGAAAGCCGTCTGCAACATTGTGCGAGACTGCTTGCCCCTGTTATTCCACCAAATCGTGCGTTTGTGGCGCACGCAAGAGTGAGTGAATATAGCTAATAAAATATCAACAGTATGAAAGCCCGTCATAACTGCAAACACGGCTATTCTAGTTGAAGTATGGCCTCCAGCACAAACGACCTGGCTTGTGGGTAATCGCGGAATAGGTTTTTCAAAGACCTTAGCAAATCCAATGCAATTATTTAAGGCCATGCTGGGATTGAAGTGGGCGTTACCGGCGGCGCGCGTCCGCATGGACGGCGGGGCGGCAGGGGCCCCGCCGCGCTCGCTGCCCGGCCGGCCGCCGCAACAGCCCGTTCGGCGACGGCGACGCTCCTGAAGCCGGCGCCGGCCGCGCCCGCCCGCGCGCGCGCTCCTGCTGCGGCCCGCTGTGGGGCCAGGCGGTAGAGTAACCCGCTTCCCCGCCCGCTCCGGCTCCCATTCCCAGCCGTGCGGTGCGCTCGGCTCGGTCGCCGTGGCTGACCGTGGCGCCTGTTGTCCGTAGGGAGAGGATGGCCTTGGCGGCTTACGTGCTTCTGGTCCACGCCCTGCCGTTCGCCGCCGCCGTCGGTAAGTAGCTGCCTGTCTCTGTGTTTTTGTCTCTGGGTTCCCGTCATGCCACTGCTCGCAGCCCGCGTCGCGAGCGGCGAGCGCGTCTTCCAGGACGGGCCGGGCGCTGGCCGTTGGTGCGAGCGTGTTTCTTTCATGCTGGGAATGAGCAGTGGTGACCCTCGTGACCCGCCGCCGGCCCGATGGTGCGCAGAATTGCCCCGGCCCGTCGCGTGCCGCCTATCAAAACATGGCTGCTCTTGTTTGTCATTCTGACGGCGGCGGTTGGTCTCACATCTGGCTGAGCCAGCGTCTTAACAACGCCAGATTTGATATTGCTTCATGTTTTTGTGTCGGCGGACTTATTTGCTTATTTGCGAAGTTTGAACCTGATAACGGCTGGTTTACTGGCTCGTATTGTGGCATAATGCGGTGGCGGTGCGGCGTTGTGCCGCGCTGCGTTCGGTGCGGCGTGGTGCACTGCAATCCTGTGTGGTGCTGTGCTGTGCCGCGCTGTGCCGCGTTGTTCCGCGCTGTGCTGCGGGACAACGCGGTACACCTGTGGGCCACGACCCGGCCGGACAGGCGCCACCCCCGCAGCCGGGATCAAGGTGGCGCACCTGTGGGCCACCACCCGGCTGAATAGGCGCCACCCCCGCAGCCGGGACAAGGCGGCGCACCTGTGGACCACCACCCGGCTGGATAGGCGCCACCCCCGCAGCCGGGACAAGGCGGCGCACCTGTGGGTCACGACCCGGCCGGACAGGCGCCACCCACGCAGACGGGGCGCGCCGGCAGACTTGTAGCGGCGCGCGGCAAACTCGATTATTTCTGTTGGGTGACGTGCCGCGCTCTGTGGCTGGCACTGTCCCATCTAAATAGATTATGCAGGCATTGTGCTACTTGAAAGAGCCATGATTACCCGATGATTTTGGAACGGCACAATGGGTCTGCCGCAGGAGGCGCCTGAGCTACGAATCCATGAGGTGCTGATATGCGGGATTGAGCTGAATTTTGTGCGCAAGGGTACGGTATGGTGCCCCGACTACTTTGAGTCGCAGTCAGAGCAAAGCAGTACGTGTTCTCGTTGGGGTAGGGCGTCAATCCCCACATTGCGTTGTCTGCTTTGACCCAGACAAAGCAGGAAACGAATTCGGCAAAACCAGGACGTCTTGGCTCGCCAATTATTATTTTCCAGATATTTAGATGTGCCCTTCACCCCGATCGTTATGTTATCGTTCCCCATTCCAATCGGCCACTTTTGACGCTACATTACCGTTGCACAGCTCTTATTCGTGAACAGGGTCGTGTAGATGCGTGGCATACGTGTGGCATGCGTCTGGTTCGGCAGTGCTGCCACCGGCGTGCTGGGATGCCGGACCGGAAGTCCTCGGCGTCTAATGATCGAGCGGCACGGCTGCCCGATGCCGACGTGTTGGGGTGCCGAACCGAAAGTCCTCGGCGTCTGATAATTGAGCGGCACGTCTGCCCGATGCCGGCGTGTTCCCTCACAGCAGCCAACGGTTTAGTCGGTCACAATGTGACCCACAAATCAGTGTTGCCTTCCCCTGCCCTCCCTAGGTTATCAATTTGCCCCCTCCCCCCCCCCCCTGAGTGGCGCTCGCCTGGGTCCTCTAAACGCTTGCATATATGCCGCCCGGCAAACAAAGGCAGGCCGTCGGCTCGCTCCAGGCGTCAAATCCCAGTGACGCACCCTTTTGTAAGATGTGATCAGCAAGCTCCGTTAACAGGGGTGTGGGCCGACTCCACTTTAGCGAGCCTTTGATGCGACAAGCTCATTGACAAAAGCGTGGAAGAATGCACACATGTCGAAGCGGATTTCCAGTGGTAGTCTCAGTCATCATCACTGAATGCTCGTGATGCCCAAATATGGTTAAGGTTTTGGAAATAGCCAGTGCCCAGATGGGGCCATTCCAGCAAACTTAGCACATCCAAGAAACGATTAAGCTTGATCTGAAAGCCTTGGCGATCAATTGAATATAACTTGGCTTTAAAACGTTGGTGGAACTAGCCCCCTTTTAAACCAGCTTTAGAAGCGAGCTTTGATCTCGGAGTACTTAAGAATGCGGCATTGACGTCCCGGGCCAATGAAATTTGTTTGAAGCTACTTATATCAAAGTTAGTGCGACTTGATGCGGCATTTTCATTGCACTGGCTTGGTTGAAATCCTAACGTAAGACAGTGCATTTCGTTGAAGCTCATCATCACATTCTAATGTGCATATTTTATATGTTATTTTCTGTCTGCCCTTCTCAAAGCAGCCTTGACTGTTTCCATTACCTGCTACAACATCCAAATGAAAACGGATGCCAACTGTGAACGCTGCGCAGCCAGCAGCTGTTCTAACGGTGCGGTGGGCGGTACGCTGAGCCAGCCTCGGCCGGGCAGACCGTCCGGCGCCGCCGGCGGACAGCCAGCGGCCGGTCTCAGACTCGGCTGCCGGTGCCGCTGACACCACCCGCCAGTTCCCTGTTTCGGGCCGTGCCGGGACCGCCTGGCGCCGGTACGTCTGTCGGGCCGCGCGTCGCGTTTGCCCAATATTGACGAGCGATAGCATCGATCGCACATCGTTGCGTGATGGTGTTCCTGCCCGGCTGGTGTCTGGCGATGGCTGTGTAATTGCGAGTGCTGCGCTTTCGCCTTGCTGTCGAGGAATGCTGCGTGCCTGCCATTTCCGAATCATGGTTGATCAATTTCCGTGAGGTTCCTGTCCCTCGCTGAACAAAAATATATGTTTGGTTCCAGGATATCTAATACCGTCGTTGCCGAGGCGTCGTAAACTACGCCACGCACATCACCGCTGATTAGGTACACATATTGCGGATACCGACGGCTGTTATGTCACAGATGGTCGAACGACGAAAACACTCACGGTGCTCAGATCGTAGGCTGTCCTACCCTCCCCGCAGGCCACTGGGATGTAAAAACAAGTGAAGCATGCAGCGGTGTGATGCGCTATGTTATGGTCTGGCTCTGGGCTGCAGACGCTAGACAACCGTTGTGCGCCCCGTGTCTTCGCCGCGTGAATGTCAACAAAGAATGTTGGCTCCAAATTAATGAGGTGCGCCATTTTGCATTCGTTTTGCATCGAACCGAGTACAATTTCAAGGCAATTAGCCTCCCGCATACTGTGGGATGTATTCTTTTAACCCGTTATGTGCAACCCGCTTACGACGTTCGTCTCAAGAGTCGTTGAAATTGCTTGCATATGACGAAAAACGGAATTTCTTGACTTCCACTTCGCAAGTCCAATTCACCTAAAACGCATTTGGCTGCTCCAGGTCGTTTGTCGCCAGGAATGGCGGCAGAGAGAGAGAGAGAGAGAGAGAGAGAGAGAGAGAGAGAGAGAGAGAGGAGAGAGAGAGAGAGAGAGGAGAGAGAGAGAGAGAGGGAGAGAGAGAGAGAGAGAGGGAGAGAGAGAGGAGAGAGAGAGAGAGAGAGAGAGAGAGAGAGAGAGAGAAGAGAAGATAAGAGGAGAAGAGAAGAGACAGAGACAGAGACAGAGGACAGAGACAGAGACAGAGACAGAGACAGAGACAGAGACAGAGACAGAGACAGAGACAGAGACAGAGACAGAGACAGAGACAGAGACAGAGACAGAGACAGAGACAGAGACAGAGACAGAAGAGACAGAGACAGAGACAGAGGACAGAGACAGAGACAGAGACAGAGACAGAGACAGAGACAGAGACAGAGACAGAGACAGAGACAGAGACAGAGACAGAGACAGAGACAGAGACAGAGACAGAGACAGAGACAGAGACAGAGACAGAGACAGAGACAGAGACAGAGACAGAGACAGAGACAGAGACAGAGAGAGAGAGAGAGAGAGAGAGAGAGAGAGAGAGAGAGGGAGAGAGAGAGAGAGACAGGACGCACACGAGGGAGCCAGCTGGGATTTTGGGTATGTCCAGCTGCTTTGATCACATTTGTATGCGGTTTCTGGTCCGCTGGATGAAGACACAGCGCTTGCAAAACGCTTGGTGCCGGGTCTGTCAGTGCCACTAGCAAAGTCGGTCTTGTTCCCAGGAGTCCATCAATCCTGGCCCTATTGCACAGGGTCAGGCCAAGATGCACGAGATGCTCGCCTCAGCGGCCACTTTGGCCGAGTCTGTGACGTCAAGTGCCGTGGTCGTGACGCGCGTGGGCTCTGTGGTAACGCCCCCGACCTGGGCGACATCAGGCCCCGCACCGCTCGGCGACACCTGGCCCACCCGTGGTCCGGGTTGGCCGATTATCGACGCCCGCGCCGGTAAGCGCGTTTTTGGTGAGCCGGCGGACTCCCCCGGTGTGTCAGTAGTTGTGTCGCTCCCGACGCTGCGTTAACGCGGCTTTGTGACCATCATCTGAAACAGACGGCCGCCGCTCTATTGATTGCATTTGAGAAATGGGGACGGGCTGTTCGCCGAACGTGTCCGCCCTACGCCGGGGGGAGGGAGGAGGGGGCGGTCGGCGGGCCACACCGGCACGCTTGCAAGTCGCACCCAATTGTACGAAACGTCGTAACGTGTCCTTTTGTTGAAACAGACGACCCGCAGTGCGGAGAGTCATTGGCGCCGACCGTGCCGACGTGCATCTGGGGAAGCGTCAGCGACGTTAAAAATAGCTGGTGTCGCCTCGTCCCAGTGCGCGTTGAAGTGTTCTCCTAGCTTGGATTCTCAGATGTCGCCTTGTTCGGGTTGTCTGCAGCCTGGTTCCGATTGGGTTAGACATGGGTTTGGTTTTGGTTATTCCTCGAATTTCGTTGACCATTGTCGAGCTTTCTTAGCTGCCCACCGACTGTGTGACATGGCCTCCAGATGTTTAGATTTCCACTCCTATATGGCACGCGTGATGCAAGTGCAGTGGTATGCTAACCCGCAATGCTCGCCGTTGGTTTGTCGCCGGTGGGTACAGCCACCGCACGCTGCCTGAGTGGCAGGCTGACCCGCATCGCTGGCGGTTGGTCGCCGATAGGTCGGCCGCCACGCGCTGCCCCGCGTGGCACGCTGTGGTGCCATGTCTGCGCCGCTGGCCGCATACCTCCGTGCGACGCGTCTTCGGCCAAGCTTGCTTTCAGAGGCATCCGACACTTCTTGCCCCACGATATGGAGGTCAAGTACAGATAAGTTGGGACGGCAGTCGGTATGGGCTCGAGAGAGAACTGAAGCGGTCCTGGACATCATCGATATCCTAGAGCTGCGAAACCCTAACGCAGTCTTGTGGTAAAAGCAAAGACTGAACCAATGCCAGCGCAAATAAACGCATGCCCTGGATCCGAATGGGCGTGAGCGTGTCGTGCTGGGACGCGGTGCTCCTTCCACCCAGCGGGTGAAGCGGAAGTTGCAGTGGACTGTGAACTATGCATTCAGAGGCGTGCCATGAGTCTCCGTTACCGTACGCAGAGACGTACGTTCTCTGTTTTTGCATGAAGCAAATTCCGTCATATTTTACATGAAGCAAATTCCGTCATATTTTACATGAAGCAAAAGTAGTGATATTTTTAACACATCGTTTCGACGCCTGACCCATTGTTCTTTGCCGACGTCACTGAACACAGGGTTTGTGGCGTCCTTTGGCGAGACGTGCGGAGCTTTGCACACGGTACGCGGAGATATTGTGCCCTCGGCGGTACTAGTCTGTAACATGGCCAGGATCCAGCCACGTCGTGTATGCGTGCAGAACACAGCACATACGGGGATAGGTGGCCGCACAGCCAGGGGGCGTGGCTGAAGGCCCACTGCCGTTCTCAGGGTGCATGCAGAATGGGAGCGGGAGGCTGGCATCTTGATGGCACAATGCATTTGTATGCCCGGGTCAGTTACTGCTAAATGGCTGTATTTATCTATATGTTCTATGAAGCTGCCAAGCCCAAGTAAGTTTTGGCAAGTTAAGATTATTTGACTAATTTGGATTAGTTGACGCTGCCAGTGCTGCTATCGAAGATCTCCATTTGTGGAAGACCATGGGAGAATACGATGTCGTCTATGCATACGGTAATGTCGAAGCACAAAACAGCTGCGCAGTGGCCACCGTGCTCCAGACGCGTGACCGGCATCTCTGCTTTCTATGAGGGCGAGCAGCGCGACATCTGCGCGGACGTCAGCCGAGCGCTGACAGCTGGTGCGCTGGCGACTGATACAGAGGCGAATGTCAGCAGCACCTCCAGCTTCGAGACAGCGTGGCAATGCCACTGGAATGAACGCTGGGTCATGTCTACTCGAATGCTGGTGATGCCGATCTCTCGCCAACGCCTGCGCATGCCACCGACCGGCTTAAGCTTTGTTATTGAGAGGAGCCAGGCGAGCTGCGCGTGTCTGGCTTGGGTGTGTGCTGAGCGCAAATACAGTCGGCTCGTGGCGGCGTCTGAATTTTTCATCCATCCGAGCCGCTCTGTCCGCGATGTTGTCAACAATGCCCTGATAGAGCTGTCTGTTTGGCGGGCCTCTCTCACCGTTTGGTCTTATTACTTGCGCCATCATCTTCGCCCATTAGTTAGCAGCGTGATTTATGGCGTGTGTGTTGGACGGCGGGCGGCAAAAACACGCGCGGTGTGGTGTGATTCGACGCCAGGTCTGATAATGCTCTGGTAATGCTCTGGTAAGCTGTTCAGGCGATGAATGTCGTGCCACTCGCGAAAGGCGCTGTGCCCCGATAGAGCGCACGGCGAGTGGCTTCCGCGCCGCGCCGCTGTGACCAGAGCAGGCGGCTTATAAGTGTCGCTGAGGTGGCCAACGCCTCCACTTAGCCGGGTTGTTCCCGCTCGTCGGGTAATGGCTCGCGGTGGTGGCGTGGCGTGTACACTTCCCGCTCGTCGGGTAATGGCTCGCGACGGTGGTGTGACGCGTACGCTCCCCGCTCGTCGGGTAATAGTCCGCGACGGTGGTGTGACGTGTACGCTTCCCGCTCGTCGGGTAATGGCTCGCGACGGTGGTGTGACATGTACACTTCCCGCTCGTCGGGTAATAGTCCGCGACGGTAGCGTGACGTGTACACTTCGATTAATTGTTTAAATGGCAAACGCAGATTGTAGCAGTTGAGATGTTTGCGAATGTAAAACCAGAATACAGCGGAGTAACATGTAAGCGTGTCGACGAAAGTGTAACATTGGAGTGTGCATGGCATATTGGGGTTCTGAAGATATGGGGTTGGACAAGCACACCTTGTTGGGCTTTATAATCATGGTTCTTTTGCGTCGAACAATGATGATGCTGCGCAAGTATTTGTGCTTTTTTGAACGACCTCTTCCTCCTGCTGCCAGCTAAGTGAAAATCTTTTTGTAACAACTTTGGCTGTTGATGGCTAGAATAAAACATACCGGGCCAGTGCCTATGATCGGCTTCCTTAGCGACCAGCTTCGGAGCTCGCTGATGCAGTCGCTGCCCCTACCCCCTGTCAAAGCACAGCACAGGTGACGGGTGAAGCAGGCACGCGTGCCACCGCGCCCGCTAGACGCAGCCGCTGAATTTGGCGATGCCATCCGGTTGCAGGTTCAAACATTACTGGACTTCACATCCGGTATTTGACACGTGAGTGGTGCCGGGGTCGGCGCCGCGGCGGTGGTGGCTGTCGGGGCGTCGCCGGCCGCCGTTATCCTTGTCAGGTTGGGCGATCGACCGACCTGAGGATCGCCAGCGCCGCGACGCCGCGTCGTTTTCACCTGTACGGGCGGACCTCGGCGCTCTGGTCGCTGCCGGGGTTCTGTTTGCGAACACGACTGCGCCCTCCGCGCTCCTCCGTTTGGCCGCTGCCGGGGACTGTTTGCGGACACGGCTGCGCCAGATGGGCCAGTGGGGCCACCAGGCTCCGTCGGTATCGAGCCGCCGCATTAGCCCGTCACCCGTGGCCGCTGTGTGGCGATGTTCCTTACAGCGTCGCAATATGTGGACGGACGGACGCCGAGCGGTTCGTCTTGTTGAACGGAGGCAGCGGTGAACGGTGGCACGGCTGCTGCGAGTCGTCCACGACTTCCTTGGTCGGATGGGAATGGGGCCGCTTCATTCTTTCAAGGCGCATTCTTTGGGGATGCGGTCGCGCCTCGGGCGGTTCCTGGCCTTCGCGGAGAGGAAGACTCGGCCGCCTGGGATAGACGGCCTCGCCCCAATCGGCCGTCGAGTGAGGCCGCGCATTCGTCGTCGTTGAGCGTGCCGCTCTCAGCGGCCTGGGCGCGCCGCCGGCCGTATAAGGGCCGTGGCCAGCCGCGCCGTATAGTGACCGCCCCTCCTCTCGGCAGATCCGCCCGAGTTCATCGAGCGTCCGCGCGACCAGAAGGTGCCGTACAGCGAGGCGGCAGCCTTCTTTTGCCGGGCGCGCGGCGATCCTCCGCCGCTCATCAAGTGGTGGCACAACGGCAAGCCGCTGCTGCCCTACTTGCTGGTGGAGTTTCCGCAGGGCAACGGCTTCTGGGTGGAGCCTGTACGCACCATCGCCGACGAGGGCGACTACGAGTGCGTGGCCGAGAACGGCGTCGGCGATCCGGTGCGCGCCAAGGCCACGCTGACCGTGATTGGAGGTGAGTGCGCCGGCTGACCGTCCGTGATTGGAGGTGAGTGTGCCGGCTGACCGACCGTGATTGGAGGTGAGTGTGCCGGCTGACCGGCCGTGATTGGAGGTGAGTGTGCCGGCTGACCGTCCGTGATTGGAGGTGAGTGTGCCGGCTGACCGGCCGTGATTGGAGGTGAGTGTGCCGGCTGACCGTCCGTGATTGGAGGTGAGTGTGCCGGCTGACCGGCCGTGATTGGAGGTGAGTGTGCCGGCTGACCTGCTGGGGCTGGGCTGAACGAATCGAGGTGGGTACGACGGCTGTTTGCCCGCGGCTGGGCGGTAGTGTGACCGTTGTCGCTCATAGGGGGGCGTCGTTTACGTGCAAGCGTCATGTTCCACGAGGGGTTTGCATGCGCGTTTTTTTTTTTGAATGCGCGTTTTTTAGCCCATTGGCTTAGCACGGGCGGGGCGAAAAAGCGACCTCAACAAAATCGGCGCGCGGCCTTTCGAAGCCGCGGCCGCATCTCGGTAACTGCCGGTCGGAGCAACGCGAAATCAACACCCTTCGACGGAGCGTTCAACGGGGAATCGCGTGATGTCACGCTTGGCATTGCACGTGCAACGTGCGCAACGGCGGGGAAGACAGATTTTCCCCGTTTTCGATTGTGTTTCACGTTTTACGCCACCGCTCGGTGACGGAAGACGCTGGAGGCGTGAATCCGGTTTCAAAGCGTCCACCCGTGTACCGGCTACAATTCGCGTGCCCAACACGAGAATGTGCGACGCACCGTTGCGTCGGTAGTCGGCGTGCAAGCCGGACATGTCGGGATTCGGAAAAACGAGGCCAAATGCAACACGCTGGCGTCGAATCCGGCACCACGATCGCGGCGAAATTTACCGCACCGCACGCACGAAGGTATTGGCTCCAATCACCACCCATTTTTTAATCGCCATATGTACTTTTTCGCTTAAACATCCACTTTACCTAAAGAGCCACAATATCGCCCTTTACGCGACGTCGAAATGCCGCCGATCGATCGTCCGGTCTCCGCCCCCGAGTAATTCAAGTAAAACGCTGGAAGACGCATGTGCGTATTCGTCTGCCGTTCATTCACTTGGCGCGGGCGGAGTAATTGAAATTCCGCGCCGTGATGGCCGAAAGTCTGCGGTATTCCATTCATTCCCCGTTCATGGCTTCGGTGGGGGCGGGAGGGTCGGAAGAGGATCTGAGCAGGGGTCGCTCCGCAGATGGAGGGCGGCGCAGAAAGAGGGCAGGAGGAGGAGCCACACCGCAGCTAGAGGATTGATCAGGAGAAAGAGCAGCAGTGGCCAGAGACGGCGTGCCATCACGGGTTTCGTGCCGGCGAGATCGGCGTGTGGCGCGCGTTGGGAAGCTGTTAGGGCCAAAGGATGTCTCGGGTCGCTGGCCAAAGGACGACAGGTCTTGCTTGTCTATGATACTGTTTGTGTAGGGTGCGTCTGTCTGTCTCTGTATGTCTGTTTGTGGGTCGTCTTTTTACGTTGACGAGGGTGGAGGTCAAACGGCGGGTCGCTTATAGGTGAAATTTTGACACGATGCACGTGCGCACGTGACGACGTGTTGAGACGACTTTCGTAACGGTGGGGTGGACGGATCGCGCGTGGCACATGTTGCAAGGGGCATTTCTGGTCCATTGGTTTAGCGTGGGCGGCGCGAAAAAGCGACCCTGCTAGAAACCGGCAACGGCCGTTCGAAACCATCGCCGCATCTCGGCAACTGCCGGTCGGAGCGACGCGTAATCACTACCCTTGGACGGAGCGTTCCACAGGGACTTGCTTGACGTGACGTGTGACACTGCACGTGCCATGTGTCACGTGCACGGTGGCTGTAAAAACGGAATTTCCCGTTTTTGAACGTTTTTCACGTTTTTACGCCACCGCTCGGCAACCAGAGCCGGTGGAGACGCGAATCCAGTTTCAGGGCGTCGACCCGCGTACCGGCTATATTTCAGGTGATCAACAAGAAATTGTGCGACGCACCGTGGCACCGGAATTCGTCGTGCAAGCCTGACATGTCGGGATTTGTAAAAACGGTCCAAATACAGCACGTAGTCGTCGAAATCGTCGCCACGATCCCGGCGGAATTTACATCACCGCACACACTGATTCTTTGACTCTAATTACCACCCATTTTGAAACCACAATATGCACGTTTTCGCTTAAATATCAACTTTACCTAAAATACTACAATATGTTTTTTGCGACGTGGAAACGCCACCGATTGATCACCCAGTCGCCGCCGCCGAGGAATTCAAGTAAAACGCAGGTAAACACACGAACGTATTCGTCTGCCGTTCATTCACTTGGCGCGGGCGGAGGACTGGAAATCGTAGTGTTGCAGTGGCCGACGGTCAGCGATATTTCGCTCATTTTCAGTTGGTTCTTGCGGTGCGGGCGGAAAGGTCGAAAGAGGATGCTGTGTGGGGGTCGCCCCGCAGATGGAGGACGGCGCGGGAAGAGGGACAGGAGGAGCCGCACCGCAGCTAGAGGATGGGTCATTAGAGAGAACAGCAGTGGCGACAGACGGCGTGCCATCACGGGTTTCGTGCCGGCGGGTCAGGCGGTGACGCGTGTAGGGGAGCTGATGGTTGGGGTTGAATGCGAATGCGGCCAAAGGCCGACAGGTCTTACTTGTTTGCTAACTATTTGGGTGGTTGACGCATCAAGCCGTGCAGCGGTTCAGCGCAAAACTTTTTGAGGTGTGGCTCTGACATGGAGGCACATTGGTGGCGAATACCCGTTTACATCCCTTGAGTGCCCGTTCGTGAGCACACGTTTGCACGTGTCTCTTGACCTGTGTGTATATGTGTGTGTGTGTGTGTGTGTGTGTGTGTGTGCGTGCGTGCGTGCGTGCGTGCGTGCGTGCGTGCGTGCGTGCGTGCGTGCGTGCGTGTGTGTGTGCGTGTGCGTGTGTGTGTATGTGTGTGTGTGCGTGTGTGTATGTGTTCGTGCGTGCGTGCGTGCGTGCGTGCGTGCGTGCGTGCGCGCGTGCGTGGGTGTGGGTGGGTGTTTTTTTAACGTGCTGAAGCTGGCGTTGCGAGGCGAAGCCCGGCCCGCAGCGGTGTCCGGCCATGTCGTGTCAACGCAGAGGTCAGCATCGGTGTCGGCGGTGGTGACAGCGCCGATGTCATCGTCGGTGTCGTTGTCGGGACGTTAGTCTCAACACCATTGTCGGTGTCGGCACGAGTGTCGGCACCAGGATCGGTGTCCGCGTCGGTGCCAACGCCGACGCCCCGGCCGGCCGCGTGACACTCGCAGCGGCGGCGCGTCTGACCGCGCGGCCCCGCTCCTCCAGCCGCGCATCGTCCGCCCGGCTTTCCGCGCATCATCCAGCATCCGACGCCGCAGCTGGTGGAGAAGGGTCACGACTTTGTCGTCAACTGCAGGGCCACCGGCGACCCGGAGCCGACCGTGCGCTGGTTCATGAACAGCGTGCCTGTCAACATGTCCAGCGGCCGCTTCGTGCTCCGCGACCGGCCCAACAGAGGTGAGTTCGCTGCCGCCGGCGGCCGGGCGACCGATCTTGGCTGTCTCCACCAACAGCGGAATGTCGTGTACCGAGCCTGGCTGCAGGCGTTCAGCCGATCGGCATCCTGGAATGCACTTCTGGCCGGCCCATGACGCCATCCATGGCACTCGCGCTGGGTACCGCTTGATGCGCGGTCCACTATTTCCGAATATTGATCGGCGCGGGGATATAGGTTGTGGGGGCTTTAATCCCTATTTAGGTATAGTGCTTCCATAAATTAACTTCTCCCGTAACGAGACAACCCGCCAGCTTGTGAATGGCCGTGACAGGTTTTGGTTGCATGGTTGGCTGCAATAATGCGAATCCATGCTTCACGTACTAATGCTTTGACAGTTATTCTGTTAATGGCTGTGATGATTTGGTGAATGGCCCCTCAACGCGCGATGTGTATGTTGCGGCTGCGCACGCCCGGTCGGGCCGCATGCGGGCAGCGTTCACACCAAATGTCCGATGTACATACGTGTACAGACACACACGCACGCACGCACGCACGCACGCACGCACGCACGCACGCACGCACGCACGCACGCACGCACGCACGCACGCACGCACGCACGCACGCACGCACGCACGCACACACACACACACCACACACACACACACACACACACACACACACACACACACACACACACACACACACACACACACACATACCCCAGAGCGCGGGGACAGACAGCACGCGGACTGTGCTGGCGGCGGCGACGCCGGGCCGACGGCCACGCGGCCCACTCAACTTGTGTTCGCTCCGGCCTGCCTCAGCGGCGAGGGCGGAGGGGGTGACTGTGAACCGGTGTCACACGTGCTGCGCGGTCGCAGGCACCTCGGCCGCTGCCGTGACGGGATGGGAGGGGGGGGGGGGGGGCGCAGGCGCCTCCGGCCGGCGGTGACGCGGTCCCAGCCGGCTGCACCAGTGTGGCCGGCGGGATCAATAGGCCGCGCGCCTTATACTTGTCGGCGACTCGCCGTCATAACGGATACGAACTATGGGCGGCGGCTGCCAGGTGCGGGCACCGGGGGAGGGGGGGGGGGAGGGGCGCCGCCCTGTCAGCCCCTGGCTGTCGTCGCCGAGAGACGGCGTGCCCCTCCGAGAGGGCCGGACGCGGCACATTGGCAAGACGGAGCAGTTGGCCAGACAACAGGTCTGGCCGCTCCGAAGTGAGATCAGATCCTCTGCTGAGGAAGATGGGCACTGCCGTTCGCCTGTCACCAGCTCAGAAAGCCTGAAAGCCGGTGTCGTTTCGGCGAATAAAAAGCAGATTCGGACCGTCAATATTACTCACCAACCACATACAATTACGAGTCGAACAGGTGGCTATCCTCTTGTCGTTGTGGTTAAGTGGTGCCATCAATATGGCCATTCAAGCGAGCCGCCGTAACTCGTGCCAGTGTTCCAGCCCGAAATGTATGGCATCGCCCCTGACAGGCTCTTTTGAATGCTGATTGGGTTGCATGGGACGTTAAGTTCGTGGATACCTTGGCTTGAGCTTCCCAACTTTGGCATGCGAGCTGGCAGTAAAAGGTTAGCACCAGGCCGTTATGTCTACCTTTGTTCCGGCTGAGAGCTGGGTAGCCTCACTGAGGATGTTTCAGGCCGTTATGTCTACCTTTGTTCCGGCTGAGAGCTGGGTAGCCTCACTGCGGATGTTTCAGGCCGTTACGTCTACCTTTGTTCCGGCTGAGAGCTGGGTAGCCTCACTGCGGATGTTTCAGGCCGTTACGTCTACCTTTGTTCCGGCTGAGAGCTGGGTAGCCTCACTGCGGATGTTTCAGGCCGTTATGTCTACCTTTGTTCCGGCTGAGAGCTGGGTAGCCTCACTGCGGATGTTTCAGGCCGTTATGTCTACCTTTGTTCCGGCTGAGAGTTGGGTAGCCTCACTGCGGATGTTTCAGGCCGTTATGTCTACCTTTGTCTCGGCCGAGAGCTGGGTAGCCTCACTGCGGATGTTTCAGGCCGTTACGTCTACCTTTGTTCCGGCGGAGAGCTGGGTAGCCTCACTGCGGATGTTTCAGGCCGTTACGTCTATCTTTGTTTCGGCGGAGAGCTGGGTGGCTTCACTGCGGATGTTTCAGGCCGTTATGTCTTCCTCGTTCCGGCGGAGAGCTGGATAGCTTCATTGCGGATGCTGGGTCAAATATTTTTGGTCTGGTGTCGTAGTTCCAAAAGAACCTTTTGCTTTTTTCTATTCTGCGTATGCAGAAAGCGTGTCAGATTCAATGTTTAGATGAGCCGTCGGTTAACACGCGCCCGGGTGGCCGGCTAGATACCCTTCGCGCGGGTGGGAGGTCAATTTGACCCCCCCCCCCTCCCTGAGAGCTCGGAAACAAAGAAAGCTAGGAACACCAAATTTATAGGGTGTATTGACCTATACGTGAGCTCACTTAGGTCGAGGTTTCAGGTTCCTAGGTCATGATCTTCGGGTCCAAATGGTCAAACAAGATCAAGTTCCAGGTTGGTCTCCAAAGTGCCCCAGAGTCTAGATAACCGTTTCTCTGCAAAAGGCCACATACTCATTCAAGGTCAGTGACCTTGTTTGATCTTTTGAAGGTCAGGGTAACAAAAATAATACCAGATTGTTTTGAGTTTTGCATTTGACTAAGCGACAAATATTACGCTAGGCAGTATGTTCCTAAAACAAAATGTTGACCCGTGTCATGTTAGGTCAGTGACCTATTCTGACCTCTAAGAAGTCCATGGGAGATGTATAATGCGGTTCCTGCTATCAATATATTCGAAAAGAGCACCAGAAACTATCTCATACAGCAAGCCCTAGGGTAACAAAACAGGTTGGTTTTGACCTTGGTGTGACCTTCATACCTGACCTGGGGTCAGTGTAATCTGCTCATTCAACCGTTGTGTTGCCCAAGTTTATTATTGTAAGCAAGTTGTGACATCTAAATTTTTGATGGCAAACGATTCGCTATTCAATTTTTTACAGCTCTGCAATATTTGGCGCGGCTACGCCGCGCCGTTTGGAAACCATTCTGGAAAAACCTTCGGAGGGAGAGGTCAATTTGACCCCCATCCCCACCCGAGCGCGTGTTAACGGGGATTCGTTTTGCCAAAGGCAACCCATCTTGCAGCAGTGCAGAGCGAGAGCTATGCTTTTGCATATGTCGTTTTTCTTAGTACTGCGCCTGTGATTGCGTACATAAAAATTTGTCGCTTCTTATGTCTTGCCAACGCGCTACCACTGATATGGGTCATAGCACCGAAAAAGCTCCCTAAAGGTTTGCGTATTTTTGTGTTTCACTGACCTCAAATGTGTCATTAGTTATTGCACAATGGCGTCTGCTGATAAAACAGCAGGGAACAGTTTGCATGGAGTTCCGTACATGAAGTGGTACGCTTTTGCAGTGCGCATCCGTTGGAAACAGTTGCATGTAGCATGGCAGTCGGCATTTGGTACTGAGCCCAGCTCCAACGACTTGCGCAGTGCATGACGTCATCGAGGCGCCATTATCCTGGCCACATTTCATAGTCGTAATTGAAAGATCATTTTATTGCAGATAAACCTGACTTTATGGTTTGACGGAGTAATTGGCGGCCTGGCCACATTGATGATGACAAAACGGAATGCCGCGCAAACGGGCAAAATAGCTAGCTGTTGTGGTAATCTGTCTATTTTGTTTGTTGATGTTGTACTTGGTGCCTGCCAACGTGGCATAAATTTTCCAGCCCACGCAATAGATTGAAATCCGCAGTAAAAATGCTTCTAATTATTCCAGCATCATGCTGATGACCCTGACGGAGCCTCCGTCATCGTATGCTGACATGTTGGCGTGCTTGTGGTATTGGGCTAAATGGAGCAGCGCCGTTTTAGCATGATCATCTGGTGTTAAATCGGTCAAATACCAACAGGCTTTTGATTTTTCTGAAAAAAACCCGAGACCCCAAGAACAGAAACGAGTGGCATGTGAGGCAACAGGCGAGTCCATGCGCACCACGCGCCACACGTGATACGGTCGGGTGCGCGTCAGTCGCAAACGGTATCAGCAGTCCAGTCCACTGAGTCCGGCGGTCGGACACTAGGCTCGGTCGGGCAGTCGTCCTTTGTAAGGGACTCGCAACAGGAGCACAGCCAGCCAGCCGGTGTTTGTAGAGCCCGGCGGCCGGCCAGCTCCAGGCGCAGCAGGCCTCCGGCGGGGCGGCCGACCAGCCGGAGGCCTGGCCCGTATTTGCAACGTGAAATGGAAAAGAGCCGCTCCCGAAACTTCGACAGAGTCGCGTGCCGCACGCGCCGTAAGTAGCCGAGCTACACTGCTCGCGTGTTTCAGCCGGATATTTTCATCATATCGGCCACGACCTTTGCTTTCAATGCACTCAGTGCCCAGGTCCACTGCCGCTCACCAGCACACGTTTAACCCAGCCACCGCCCACCAACGACACTCCCGTGTTCTGACACACAACAATCAACAGCAATAGCCTCGCCTGACGGAGTGGATAGCCAGGGGGAGCGGAGAAAACAGAGAGCATCTCGTATGCGTTACGATTTAAGGTTTTTGAATGGCACGCCAAAATTGTTGGAACACAAGAAAAATTAAATGAAAATGCATGATGACATACTTACATACACAGATCCATATAACGTAAATTGATCAAATATTGGTGGCAGAAAATAAGCTCTATTTCCTTTTTAACGTTACATTCGTTAAATTTCCATTTGAAACTATGACGATGAAGATTGTACAATGGGTATAACACTGACATCAAACACCATCCTAAACACTCCCCTGGGCACGCGGAAATCCACGGCTCCGCAAGTCTCCGGTAGCTTTGGAGAGAAGGCGTATTTTCCACCAAGAAACCCGAGCTGAATGCGGCATGAAAACGCGCGAAAGGGTCATTAGATTAAAGTATGCAATTCTTTCTACCAATCTACAGAGGGTCGCTACCAAATCACGGTGGGGGTGTTAAGCTAAGCAGGGTCTTTGGTTAGCCGTTGGATAGTTGTTCTGGTTTTGTATCAAAATAAGTACTTGTGCTTTTTGACATCTACCTTTTGTACAACTTTTGGTCATACAACAACAATGTTATCTACTTTGAAATGTTGTGTTGCGGCACTGTTGCAAGCTCCGCACGCCAACCCGTCCCCCTCTTCTTCAAGCAGGGTGTGCCGGCTCGGCGCCAGAGGGCAGCGATTGGCCCTGCTCATGTGCGCCGCCTCTTCCAGGCGACATGGTCATCAAGGACTCGGTGACGTCTGACGAGGGCAAGTACCGCTGCGCCGCCGAGAACGGCGAGGGCACCGTCTACTCGAACGACGCCATCGTCTACATCAGTGGTGAACACGGATGTGCAGCGACGCATGAGTGTCGCTCTTACACGGATGTATGACGGATGGGCGTCACTGATGACCCACCGTGTGCGCGTCTTGTGCGTGTATGCGTTTCTCGGCCGTGTCCCACAGTCGGGCTGAGATAAATCAGTTTGGCACGTCTGTCTGTCTCTCGGGATATACCTCTCATTATTGTCTATCTCGGGATGACCTTCTCTATATTATCTATCTCGGGATGACCTTTTCCAGATTACCTACCTCGGGATGACCTTTTCCATATTATCTATCTCGGGATGACCTTCTCCTTATCTATCTCGGGACGAACCCCTTATTATCTATCTCGGGATGACCTCCTCATTATCTATCTCGGGGTGATCTTCTTCTTATTATCTATCTCGGGATGACCTTCTCCTTATCTATCTCGGGATGACCCCCTTATTATCTATCTCGTGATGACCTCCTCATTATCTAACTCGGGGTGATCTTCTCCCTATTATCTATCTCGAGATGACGTTCTCCTTATTTATCTCGGGATGACCTTCTCCTTATTATCTATCTCGGGATGACCTTCTCCTTATATATCTCGGGATGACCTCCTTATTATCTATCTCGGGGTGACCTTCTCCTTATTATCTGTCTCGGGATGACCTTCTCCTTATTATATAGGGTCGTCTTACAGTTGACCTTCTTCTTATTATCGAGGGAGGGTCGTCCTACAGTTCTGGATGTCATTTGCCCTGTGGGTACTTCCCGGACATCTGGGGCATGACCCCACATCCGGTTGTCTGGACGCCTGAGGAAGGGAGGGGAGGGGTGGGGGTAGGGGGAAGCGAGGGGAGGGGGTGCTGTCCGGCCGCGCAGCACCGGCCCTCTTTAGTCGTCTGGCCGGCCGCGGCCATCTCATAACGTCTTATGAGGACATGTTCGGAATGTGGCGCCACCACCGCAGCAATGGCAGCGCATGCACCGTGGCAGCGCATACCGTTTGCACCGTGTGCGGGTGGGCGGTGTGTGGGGCACACCGTGGGACGGCGCGTCGCGTCTCCGAACCGGACGGCTTCGGCGCGCTGTGAGTCCCCGCCCGTCGGCGCGCCCTCCTCAGGCCGGTGGCTGGCACCTCGCTGCTCCGCTCGCTCCGGATCCACTGGAACATAAATGGCCAAGGGTGGCGCGTCAACTGGCCGCGCGCCGCCGCCGGGCGGGATAATGCGCTGCAAGTTTAGCGAGCGCATGCCGGGCTCGGTGAGCCACCCCGGCCAGGTGTGGTGCCTACCTTTCGGGGCGTATTTGTCACGGCCGCAGCGGCCGAGTGCCGACTCGGTCACCGGGCCCGCTGATGGAAGGCCGGCTCGGTCACCGGGCCCGCTGATGGAAGGCCGACTCGGTCACCGGGCCCGCTGATGGAAGGCCGGCTCGGTCACCGGGCCCGCTGATGGAAGGCCGGCTCGGTCACCGGGCCCACTGATGGAAGGCCGGCTCGGTCACCGGGCCCACTGATGGAAGGCCGGCTCGGTCACCGGGCCCACTGATGGAAGGCCGGCTCGGTCACCGGGCCCACTGATGGAAGGCCGACTCGGTCACCGGGCCCGCTGATGGAAGGCCGGCTCGGTCACCGGGCCCGCTGATGGAAGGCTGCTCGGTCACCGGGCCCACTGATGGAAGGCCGGCGAGCGGCCTGGTGTGGGTCGCGGCCGTGGTGATCGGGTGTCAAGTGGGTTTCCGTTCGCGCAGTACACGCGCTGAGCTGGTGTCGACGCGTCGTGCTGGGCGCGTTTTTGTTTTGCGACGCGCCAACTTGCCACTTGATGGTTTGATTACAAATATTTCTCGGGCACAGCTAGCCGTCACCAATGTGGGGCACATGGATAAGTCGCCAGCTATTCGCCGGCTCTCCCCCGATGCTCATTTCCGTTTTCCTTTGCCCTGCCGTGTCCCTGTGACCGCTCTCCGTCCGTGGGGCACGGTCCTGCCTGGCCTGCCATGTCGCTGTGACCGGTGTGTCCGCACAGCTGCCTTCGGTTGTGCCCGTTGTCCTCCACTGACCTGTGTTTCCGCGCCGCCAGTGCGCCGCGCGGAGCCGACGTTCACCATACTGCCGGACGCGGTGTACAAAGTGCTGCCCGGCGAGGACCTGAACCTTACCTGCGTGGCCGTCGGCTCGCCCGTGCCCCACATCCGGTGGCACAAGGTAAGTGCCGACCGATCGTTCGCCCCCTCCCGCCGGGTCCGGGCAGTGCGGACGCGGGCCGGGCTTCTGGCCACCGGCACCGCCCGGAGACTGGCCGACGCCGACGCACCAGAGGGCGGCTGGCGACGATCGCGTCGGCCGGATCAGGCGGGTGGGCCGGGGCGGGGCAGACTGAGACCATCGAACTGGCCCGGGGGGCCGCCACCGATGCAGCGTAGGGTGGAAGCAGCCAGCGACGGGCTGCGGTGGCCTGGCACTGTTCGCTGGCCGCTGTTATGCATCACACTATACTGAGTGCGCCGCGCGGCGCTGGCCGCGCCGCCCTGCCGTCGCTGACGTGGGGATGTCCGCTGCACCAGGAGCCGGGCATCGAGCTGAGGCCGCAGGAGCCGGCCCCGATCGGCCGCTCGGTCCTCGTGCTCAGCAACGTGCGTCAGTCCAACAACTACACGTGCGTGGCCACTAACGAGCTCGGCTCGGTGGCCAGCATGACGCAGGTCAACGTGCAAGGTGAGCGTCAGTGGCCGGCCGGCGGCGCCGCGCCCGGCCGAGAGATGACATCACCGAGCCAGTGGGATGTCCACCCGCGCCCGGTGCTGGAAGGGTATTTTTGCGAGGTCGCGCCGCCAGCGACAGTGCCAGTGTTTGCACTAGGTGGCTGCAGAGGTCAAGACTGCGTCAGGTAATACTAGTGGGATGGAGGGGCGGAAGAGGCAGGGGGAGGGCTCGGGTAGATTGCCAACCAGTCTGCCACGCCCAGGGGAACAGGGTGAAATATGTGGTTGGAATGTGATGGATGATGTATGCAGTTCAAGTCATGCTGTTGCTGTTCCTTCCTGTCGCGGTGCCTATCTTGCGCCGCACTGGCCGACTGGTTCCCGTTCCATGCCTGAGCTGCATCCCGTTTGTATTTCCTGTTGTTGCTTTCGTTTGCTTCTCATTGATGTCTGACCATTCAGGCGCCTCGCTCTGCTTCCGGGAGTTCCGGCCATGGTGTGTTTCCCCGCCGACCATCTCAGTTTTTGTAAACAAGTTAGCCAACGTAAGCCCCTCCGTCGGCATGCCAAGAGCCGTCCAGAAGAGTGGGCCTCATCAGAAGACTACCATGCACGGGGTGCTCGTCAGCGGACAGACAGCAGACGCCCGGCAAGAGTAGCAGGATGACTGGGATCGTCCGCATGTCGTGGGTGCGGGGTCGGATCTAGCAGGCTGGAGGAACCCCACATCACGGCTGAGCAGCAGTGGTCGGCGGTAGTTCCCGAGCCGGGAGCCTACGTTCCCACCGGTGGGAGGGGGCCAAGGGTGGGTGATGGAGGAGGGGGGGGGGGGAGGACGGCCAACCTCAGCAGTGGAACTCCGTCCTCTCGTGATGCCGTGGCGGGAGCTGACTCCTTGGGCCTCTCTCCCAGCGGGAGCCCCGCCCCCCTACCAGCGGAAGCTGGTAGGGGCCGGGGGCGGACGGAAGCAGTTCGTCTCATCAGCAGATCTCCGCTGTTTGGCGGGTGTCCTGTGACGCCCTGACTGGTGACATGGGCGGCCGTCTGGGCCGGCCGCTTCTCGCCCGCTAACAGGCGGAAAACGGGTGGGAGACGGATGGGCCCGGCCCGTGGCCCGCTCTGCGCTTTTCACAGGCCAACCCGCTGCCGCCGACACGAGTCAGAGTCGCACCACCTCTCGCAGAAGTGGGCTAATTATAAATAAGTCGCGAGCGGAAGCACGCCGGGGCCTGTAAAAAGTGGCGACGGTGGTACGACAGCGTATATTGATTGTCAGTGACCACGCGACTGTGTCGGTGCCGGTCGGCCGGCATGCTGGCTGACGGACCAGTCGGAGCTCTGGACATACGGCAGCAGTCGGACCCTGACAGGCGGCAGGCTGCCACGTCTGTGCCGCCCGGCTCGCGCCCTGGGCACTGACGTCCGACTCACGCAGGCTGACGTCTGGACGTCTCCCCCAACCAGCCTCAGACTGGGAGTGGTGCCGGGTAGCACCGTAGGTGCGCGCTCGGATAGCTGTACGCCTGCTCAACGGGGCCGGCCTCGCTCGCTGACGCCCAGCACTCGCTGCCTCCTGGGCTGCGGGCAGGGCTTCAATGTCTGGCGCATTTGACTTCTGCCTTGAGCTGAACTACCTGGCCGAGCGCGCGCTCGCAGCCATCCTGCGGCCAACACGGCCGCCAGCTCGGTCCCGTGCTCAGCGGGCCGGACGCGGCCTTCGAGTGCCGGCGGCCGCTAGAAACCATCCGCAGCGTGTTTTTTTTTTTTTTGGAAAATTGCTCCGACATCCGTGGCGGGTCATTATATTTGGCCGGTCCGGCTCCACGGTCGTATTTTATTGGCGTTCGTCGGCGCTGTTTACCAGGGCAGTCACGCCACGGGACAGCCGTTTGCGGACAGGCCGGCTCGGCCGTACTTTGACAAGCTGGTCAGTTGTGCGGGGCCCCATTGTTAGTCCTGCCTGTGAGCGCCTTTTTCTGTTTGTACTGAAACGAGCTGGTCAGGGCCGCTGAGCCGGGTGCCGTGTTCAGCTGCGACCATTTCTATGGACGGATTCGAAGAGATGTATCAAGTGACCGCCGCCAAGTGTGACTTGCTACGAGCCGCGTCTCCAGTCAAGGAAGCTGTGCCTCGTACGTTGCAGCACTTCCGACACCTTGCACATTCACTCCGTCGCTACAGTTCATGCGTGGTGAGCGCTCGGCGGTGTCGCGACAACCTGGGCGGCATAATGCTGGCCTTGGCTTCGCCTCCATGGCAGAGCACGCCCATCCCGCCAGAGTCCAAAGGGATAGTGTCGGCTGCGTACTCCAACAAGCGACAGTGGGCAGTGTGGTGCCGCTTTTCGGCCGGCTCCGCGGGCTCGGCCGCGCTGTCTGTCACACTCAGTCTTCGTCGACTGTGTCACACCCGCTGGCAGTGCCGCTGGGGCACAGCGCCGCTAAAATGCTCCAGCCATTTCTCCCCGGCAAAAATGGTCGGCCACTGAATTCTAGCACTGTTGACGGGTGGGCGGCGCGGGGCAAGCTCGGTTTCGTTTGGCGCGACTCCGCGGCGTCCGCCAGCCGGCGCTGACGACGCTTTTGTCAGCGGCAGCGCCGGAGGAGGGCGTCGTGGCTGGCCCGCTGCGGTACCTCACCAGACACCTCGGTCACTCTCCGAGGGCTCTCCGACGTGACTTGACCTGACCTGTGGCACAGAGTTCCGCGGAACAGAGTGCCGAGTACTGGCGTGGGTCACCGCTGTCGGGCGGTCTCGCTATCGTTCTGGCGATGTGTGCCGCGCTCTTTCTCTTTTCATGGAAGCCGGACGAACCGCGCGAAGTGTCAAATGCAACGAGATGAAAGGCTTAGCGCGCTGCTGACGCAAGTTGTTGAGGGAACGACCAGAGCCGGTGACGGTCATGATTCATTCCGTGCTCAGACCATGCGGAATCGGGTGAGGACGTTTCTGCAGATCTAACGACGTGGGAAGCCTCTGAGATATGTGATAATAACTGGCCTGCCCGCCATCTCGCCAGGCGCGGTAAGTGCTGGCAGGTCAGCACGGTGCGCTGCTGATGTTCTGCGTGGAGAGAGGCGGCGCTGGAAGGCATGGCAATGCACGGCGTCCTGCCTATCACGTGACTGATTAGCGGCTGGTGACGCCCGCTGATTGGCCGGCCCTGCCAGTTGCCTCGGCAACGCGGCTGCACAGAGTGCCTCCCTGCTCTTGCCCGAGCGCTGACGTCGGCTCCCGCATGAAGATCTCGGGTAGGCGCTATATTTTCATTTCGTTACACACGCAGTGACCGTGTCGCTGCTCATGCTGCTTACCGACATGTTAGGTGTCCAGGAACAATTGTCCGTTGTGTCAGGTCTAATTGCAGATAAATTTCAGCTGCTTTACATTGGCAGACGACTGCCCCCATGTGAGCCGTATTGTTCTACGTCGGCATTGAAACTCTGACCAGGCGCTGCCTCGATGTCCATGTGAGATGGCGATTGCTGATGGGTCGGTCGGCTGTTCTTTTGTGTCTGGTGCCGGCTTAGCTGCGTCTGGTGTCGGCCTGGCTGTATTTGTTGTCACGCTCACGATTTGAGTCACCATCCCCGAGGCCGATGTCTCGCTTCCCACATCCGACACGTATCGGCAGCGCAAGAGACGGCCATATCCGGCGCATGCTGGTGCCTGCAAACGTAACGATAACGAACTAGCCGATTAATCTGCTCAGAGAGTCGCCATAATTAATACAAATGGCGGCAGGATAATGCGATCCCCGTCTGTGCCAATGTAGTATTAATGGTGCCGAGGTGACAGGCGTGCTGGGCCGAAAGCCCTGAAGACCGTTAGAGGAACACCTCCCCTCCCCCCTTCCCTCCGCGCCCAGGTGCGCCTCGGGCGCCTGGGTGGACGGTGGGCGCGTGTTTTGGTGCCGGTGTGACCTCTGCCAGTGCCATCGACCCGTGTCCGGTGCAAATGTCGCGGCGTCACGCACCCCGTGGCAGGCATGGACCGGCGTCGGCGGCCAATGACGGTGACGTTGCCACGGCGTTTGTCGATGGCGCGCCGCCGCTGTGACCACCGCCCCGCCCCTCTCACGCCCCCGCACGCCCCTGCACGCCCCTGCACCTGCGCGCACGCCTGGTCGCCTAACGCACCGGGTCCAAACACGACACGGCCCGGCCGGCCGGCGTGGTCCGCGCGCGCGCGCACCTCGTGCCACGGCCGTGTCGTGTACGCGCTGGCCGATGGGCCGGTGGCAGGCGAGCTGAAGCCCCTCCATGCCGTCCGCGCCGACAGTGCTCGTCGTATTTTTAGTCGGAGCGCGCTTGACAGAGGCTCAAACGGTAACTAGTCTAAGCGTCTGTCGTCAAGCGGGTGGTGCGTGCCCGTCCGTGCCCACCTCCATCAGTAATTTTGAGCTCCATGGTGCCGGGTGCATGTGGGCGGGGTGTAATTGGCATGCAGACGTGCACATGGCGTTGCAGCGTGTCCGTGACACGAGCTGCGTGGCAGTCGGTCGTTCTGCCGTAGAGCGCCGTGGCATGCAGAGTGCTGCGACGTCATCGCGCCGGCCGGGCCAATAGCTGACCGTAACCTAGCCCGACACCATGCATGTGCCATCAGACGGGCCAAACGGGTGCCCGGCAGGGCCCGTCCGATTCCGAGAACGGACTTGAGCACCGCTGCGACCGGACGCGGGGTGCCCAGAGTGTCCACTGGTGACGTAGTCCTACGATACGCGGCTCTTTTCGCCGCTGGCCGCTATGGTAGTCTGAGGGCGGCGGAGTTCAAATCGGGGGTACAAACTGTCGTCTTGGAGCGCTCGCCGACTGGGCGGACCGGACACCAGGTGCGTCGCCGGCAACTAACTTTGCATTGTCCCGCACCCCAAGGGAATAATTCGCCTTAGCGTTGGTGGGTGGCGAGTGCCGCGCGCCCGGTGCGGGGCCTCGAACGTCACTGGTCCGCGGGAGCATGCCGTCGCACGTGGCCGCTCCGGCCGGCTGACTACAGTACAGACTAATTCGTCTACAGACCGGCCGGCTGACACCGCGGCCGCCCGGTGCCCGGGCGGCGGCTGTATGACCCAGCTGCGGTCGGTGTCGCGGCCTCAGTCGACACGGACGCAGAGATGCGACGGCGCCGGCTCGGCCCCCGGTCCGGCTGCCGGCGCCGCCGCTCTGCCGGCATCCTGTCACGCCCGCCCGAGACGAGCGCCGGCCGACTCTCCGCACCGGCTGAGGAGGGGCGTGACGTCCGCTGCCGGCGGCGCGCGCCACTCTCACCTCGCCGGAGAGGTCGCTGCACCGGCGCCCGTCGCCTGCCCGCCCCGCTCCATACGGTCTAAGTAGCGCGCTGTCGGTGCTGCTGCCGCACGACGCGAACGTCACATTTCGTCGCGCGACTCCTGTCCAGATGCGGCACATTTCCTGGTGGTGGCCGGTTGGAATAACGGCTGGGTAGGGTAGCGGCTTGACCATCTTGCTCATGATCAAATATACGAAGGCATTGTTATGCTGCCTATTTGTAACGGTTTTACCGCAGCAGCCGACAGAAGAGATGATAAAACATCCCATATTAGATAGAAGAACAACACCTGTCGTAAATATGAAGTTCCAAACCGTTGTAAGTCATCAAAATTTCAGCAAATATACATGAATGAGCAAAAGTACAGGACAATGAAACATACTTGTATATAAAATATTTGGTTGTTCAGTGCAGCTGTGAGCAACATTTCTCATGCATGAAATAGTTTTTTGGGTCTTCTTCCTCGTTGAACCATGCCTAAAGGAGGTGTAGTGATAACAGTATCAATATTACGTGTGTATAATATTAATGCTGCTTATCAATACACCTTTATTTTTCATCTAACCCTTCAATTACGACTGAGACCCATAGTATTGCTCTCGTGTAAAGCTGCATAACCGAGCACGTTGATGTTCGTGCCTCGGAAGGGAAATAACTGTGAAATGGCCTGCTACGGTCTTCCACCATAACTGTCTAGGTAGATGTACTATTTATTGCCCTTCATTTTCCGACCATTGCGCGCAGCACAGTTGTCCAAGCTACGGCGTGTATGTCGGAGTATCTGGATAGCCGCTCACGCCCCGGGGCTTTAGCTCCTGACGGACAGGTGCGACTGTGCTCACGACCTTCGTGCGGCTATATGAGGCCGGCCGTGGCTGTTTTACCGCACTGGACGCCCGGCAGCCCCAACTAGACTTCTCCTCTTCTGCAACGGGGTCCGTTATGGGATGTTTTGTGCGTAACGGGCCGCTCCATCCACGCTGTGACGTTTGCGCCGGTTGCCTGCTGCTGTGCTGGCTTTCGGTCGCCTTGCTTTCGCTGATCAACGGTCCCGCACTGTGCACGTTTGCTGTCGTGTCCGCCGCGCTGGACCTGAGCGGTCACGCAGCCCAGCCCGGCAGCGTGCCGCTGCCGGGCTGGGCTGACAGGATTCCCTGGCCGCCACGCGCCGGCTGGCGGCAGTGAACTCATCGGGCGTAAATCCGCCGAGACGCCCCCCAGAGCCCCGCTGACAGCACGGCAAGACCTCGCCGACGGCCGGCGCTGACACCTGCCCCCGGGCTGGGTCAGGCCGACTCGCTGACGGGCCCAGGAGCCTGGCAGGGGGAGGGGCGTCGCAGGAGCACGGGCACGGCACGAGCCGGGGATGGGTACCACAGGAACCGAGAGAAGGGCGCAGCAGCAGCAGGTGGAGGGCGGATACCGGAGAAACTGGGAGATGGGTGCCATAGAAACCGGAGGACACCATTGGAGCTCAGGAGCGTATCGCATGAGCCAGGAGATGGGTACACCAGGAGCCGCGAGGGGCGCTGAGGAGCCGCTGGAGTGTGACGAGGAATTCAGGAGAGGGTCGCCGCAGCACCCTTCATTTGACGTTGCATGATCTCCTCATGGCGGGACGTGAGGTACGAACCAGAGAGACCGCCGATCACTGAGACCCAGAAATCGCCTCAAGTTCGGGCGCGGTCTCGCAGGCGTGCGACGCGTGACGCGCTGCAGGCAGGCGAAGATAGGAGGGCCGCGGGTGCCGCGCCGCGCTGGCCGGCGGCGAGCGCTACGCCGAGGCGATGTGTGAGCGCGGACCAGACGGCCCCGCTGTGACCAGTGTCGGTGACGTCGCCTGAATGTGGCCCGCAGGGCTGCCGCGGCCGCCGACAAACCTGCGCGTGTTGGACGTGACCTCAGAGGCGGTGCGCCTCTCGTGGTCGTATGACCTGGACCAGGAGACCATCAAGTACTACGTCATCCAGTACAGCCAAAAGTACGGTGTGCAGCAGGTGAGGCCGGCGCCCGGACGGGGCGGAGCGGCTGTGGCGCTTGTCCAATCGGCAGCAGGTGAGGCCGGCGCGCGGACGGGGCGGGGCATGAGGCCGGGCTGTGCCGCACGTTCAGTCAGTCGGCGGGCGGTCAGCGTGTTGTTCATGCCGACTGGCACAGGCATCGCGTTTGGCGTTCGTAAACCACCGGCTGCTAGTGACGTTATCCAGTGTATTAAGCGTGCATTTATCATACAACAAAAGCGTTTTATTTTCTCCGCACATGGGCTGGCACTTAGATGCAAGGTGCTTGTCGTAGTGGTGCGTTCTCCACGGTAAACAGTTCATAAAGTGACAACATCTGCTTGCAGCTATTCGTTAAGGAGCGTTTGCAAAATTCCCGAGCACTGACATGAGTGGGTTTGACTCCTTTGACGCGACTGACAGTTCCCAGCTTGGTAATGTCAGTATTTGTGTGCGCTCAACACGCTCGACATGGCGCCGGTGGTGACGTCCAGAGTGTCTGCGCCCATACTGCGCCATGGCGACATGGCGCCGGTGTGTGGCGCCCGCGCGCCGCTTCCGTTGATGACGCCGGTGTCTCGGCCGCAGGAGATCAACGGCGTGATATCGCTCCACTACGCGGTGCCCAACCTGGCGCCGTTCACCGAGTACGAGTTCCGCGTGATCGCTGTCAACAACTTGGGCCGCGGCCGGCCCAGCGCGCCCGTCCAGGTCACCACGGGCCTGACAGGTGAGCCTCGGGCGGGCTCCGTCGGCCGGCCGAGTACGGCGCACGCGCGCCGTCAACCCCGGCGGTGGACGGTCGGCGCCGGCCGGCGCTGCGCTGCTGGGAACGTCCGCCGCTCCCTGCGGCCTGCCGGAGGAAGGGAGGGGAAGGAGGCAGGTGGGACGTGTAGCCGTGAGGGCGCGTGTGGGATGGCTGGCTTGACGCGCCTCCGGACCGCTCACGCCGGTGGGCGGGGAGAGTCTCGACACCGACGACGGCCGCCTGGTTTACGACATTCGAGTCGGGAACAGCTAACACTGCACGTGCCGCCCGTCCGTCGGGTGTTGGAAGCGAGGGAGGGGGAGGGGAAGGGGCACCTGGGCTGGCCCACACACCTGTTGGAGCGGCCACAGAGTCGACGAGCTGCTCGGAAACGCGTGTTAGTGGGTACCGGTGGTGCCTTGGTGGACCCGTTTCCGTGACCTCATTATGGACAGGCTGGACCGCCGTCGTCTCGTCAGGGCGTCCATTAACCTGTTCCTCGGAATCATGACTCGTAGCCCTAGGTTTCAGGGTGGCGGATTTGTGACAGAGACTCAGCGGTGTTTGAAAACGCTGTAATGTGTCGGGTTGTTTATGGACGCATGTGTGCAACCGGCGAGGTGTCGCGTCTGGATGGCGGCTGGGCGGCCGGAGCGCGCCCGGCTGGAGACGACACCGCCGACCCGGCCGGCCGCCAGGCGTGGCTTAGTCGGGGGCCGATTACGGCCACCGGCGCGTGGCATCAGCAGGCGGCCACTGTCAGCGCGAGCCGCGGCGCGTCGCCTTATTTGCGGTCGGCGGGCTGGCGGCGGCGCGGCCGGGAGCGTGTTCCCTCCCCACTGTCCCCCGAGAGCGAGAGAGCGAGAGAGCGAGAGCAGTGTACCTGTGACCCGCCGCCGCCCTGCCACCTGATGTGTTACTCATGCGCGCCACGCAAACGCGTCTGGCTTTGATCGGCACCGGCCGCCGATCAGGCTCTAATGTCATTGCCTTCTCTTCCGCGTCACACCGGTAACCTTCAGAGGCTCCCGTAAGTTGATTTGTGTTTTCTCAGGTCTTCGGTTTCTGTTTTCTTTGCTCTGTCTGGTCCACTCGGCGCTGCCGACGAATTATTGAGTGCTGGTCGGGTTTTTCACTGAAATGCGTTTCCCACACTTCGAAGCATCGTTTCTGTGTCGATTGCGTGTAATGTCCGCACTTGTGTTGCTGCGCACTTAACATCTGTACTGTTTGTCAGCCGCTTTTATTCACGCTGCTTTCCTGGTATCTATGGACTGCATGAATTTGAAACGGACGAAAGAGCGCCGTTGCCGGCGTTTGTCTGTGCTGGAAGCGTGCAACATTATCGCACACCTGTGGGAGCGTAGCTGTGATTTTGGATAGCGCGCGTTTGTTTGTTTTAGCTTCCGTTGCCGCCGTGACTTGGAAGCGAACAGCGCCGTGTGATAGCGGTTTCTCAGGGCGCACCACGAAGCGAACCTGTTGCGCCGTTGAAAGTGAACCCGCTGTGCTGTTTTAACGGCGGGTGTTTAGGCGATGGGCAGTATCATACCGAAGCTTCGAACCCTCGTGAGGCGCGTGTAATCCGAGCCTGCGCCGTGGCCGTCTGCGGCTCTCGGTGCCGTGGCCGTCTGCGGCTCTCGGAGCCGTGGCCAGCTGCAGCTCTCAGTGCCGTGGCCAGCTGCAGCTCTCAGTGCCGTGGCCAGCTGCGGCTCTCGGTGCCGTGGCCAGCTGCGGCTCTCGGTGCCGTGGCCAGCTGCGGCTCTCGGTGCCGTGGCCGGCTGCGGCTCTCAGTGCCGTGGCCAGCTGAGGCTCTCGGTGCCGTGGCCAGCCGCGGCTCTCGGTGCCGTGGCCAGCTGCGGCCCTCGGTGCCGTGGCCAGCTGCGGCTCTCGGTGCCGTGGCCGGCTACTTGGCCGGTGACCGGAGCCGCCGTCCCGTGAGGCGGCCAGCGGACGGCAGGCCGGGCACGCGCCCGCCTGAAAGGACACGTGTGCGCCGCTGCTGTCCGGTTTCCGGACGGCGTGCTTGAAATGGCGGCGGCGCCGACTGGCCGGCGTGACGGGCGCACCTGGCGGCGGTCAAGACGGGCCCGCCGGCCGGCCTTGGCGCCGCCCGGTGACTGTGCCTGCCTGCGTGCGCGGCAGACTAGGAGTCCCAGCGGCAGTCTGGCTCGGCTCGGCGAGCTGCCGTCAGCTGTGACGCGCGTGATCCGCCGCTGGGTCGTCGTCGTCCGCTTAGGCTCGGTGTGTGATGGGTGCGTCTGTCCGCCTGTTGTAGAGCCCGGCTCGGCGCCCAAGAACGTGCACGTGCGGCCGCTGGGCTCCAGCACGCTGGTTGTCATGTGGGACAGCCCCGACCAGCCTGTCGTCCAGGTGAGAGGCCGGCGGCCGCGGCCGCGCAGGCGCCACCGACTGGTCACCGGCTGGCCACAGGCTGGTCACCGGCTGGCCACCGGCTGGCTACCGGCAGGCCACCGGCTGGCTACCGGCTGGCTACCGGCAGGCCACCGGCTGGCCACCGGCAGGCCACCGGCTGGTCACCGGCTGGTCACCGGCTGGTCACCTGCTGGTCACCGGCTGGCCACCGGCTGGTCACCGGCTGGCTACCAGCTGGTCACCGGCTGGTCGCCGGCTGGCCACCGGCTGGCCACCGGCTGGCCACCGGCTGCCGGCTGAGCCGCCTACAGTGTGCCGTTCCGGGTGCTCTATGCCGTGCGCTGTCCCCGTCCCCAGTGCCTCTCGGCTCTCCAAGATACCGAGGCTTCCGGGACGGCGGAGACGAAAAGGGCGAGTCCCGTGCTCTGGTGAGACGTAGGCCTTCCCTGGCTTTGCTCCTCTCTGCCTGCAAGCCGCCGTTCCCAGCGAGTGAGCAGGGAGCGCTGTCAGCTGACCCGTGTCAGCGCTGTTATCGTGATGTGTTGTTCGAATTTGGGATAGCGATCTGCGTGGTCGCTCCTGCTCCTGCATCATCATGGGTGCGGTGTCATGACGCTGCCAACTGCCGTGCAGATCACCAGCTACAAGGTCTACTTCACGATGACGCCCGACCTGCCGCTGAAGCAGTGGGAGTCGGAGGTGGTGTACGCCGGCGGCGGCACACTCATCACCCTCTCCGGCCTGGTCCCGCACGAGATCTACACGCTCCGTGTACAGGCCGAGACGCTGGCCGGGCCCGGGCCCATTTCGGTGCCGGTACGCGCCAAGACGCAACAGGGCGGTAAGTGATGCACCGGCCGCTGTCGGCTCCAAGGCCGTCTGTGGGCTCTCTCCCTCCAGCCTGTCGTGCAGGCCTGCGTGCGGGCCTGCGTGCGGACAGGACAGGGCTGGCCGGGTGCTGTGGACTCGTGGCCGGTGCTCCGTGTGTGACAACAGATCACCAATTACGAGGGCACGGTAGGGCTGGCCGGGTGCTGTGGACTCGTGGCCGGTGCTCCGTGTGTGACAACAGATCACCCATCACGAGGGCAGGACAGGGCTGGCCGGGTGCTGTGGACTCGTGGCCGGTGCTCCGTGTGTGACAACAGATCACCCATCACGAGGGCAGGACAGGGCTGGCCGGGTGCTGTGGACTCGTGGCCGGTGCTTCATGTGTGGCAGCAGATCACCAGTCGCGATATTGAAGCTCAGATGTGTGGTGCGTGTTGTCGGCATTGTGTCAGGTTGTGCGTTGTATCGACGAGGGAAAATGGCACGGCGAGAAGCATTGGACCCGTGGAAAACGCGCATGTGTCAAATTACGGCGATGCCCTTTTGCCTCGAGCCTTCCACAGTTCTACATGCTTTTACGATTGTCCAAATCTGTCGGAAAGGCCCGCAGGGTATTTCAAAGTCTGGATCTTCGGCGTCGATTTTTTATAGTCGCTGATGACTTTCAGCGAGCTAACGAAAGCTGAAGCTCGGCCGGCTGTCTGAGCGGAACCAGTGCTCCAGAAGAAGCCATATTTGATTACATGAAATATGAGATTGAGTACCTCTTGGATCTTCCTGAACTGTGTCAATTAAAGTTGACAGAAACCTCTTCGTCACTTAATAGCCTCATTTGGCAGTGCGTGTTAAGCTTAGCTCCGGGTCTCCACTGGCTGCGAAGGCTGGTCCGACTGCCGGCTACTTCCACACCTGGGTCCGCCGGCGGCGGCGGCGGGGCTGGCCGGCGGCGGCGGCGCCGACAGAGTCGCCGGGGATCAGGCCCTTGTTGCTGGTTACGGCCGCGACAATGGCGTGTGTACGGGTGTAATGGCTGGCGTCTGCCGCCCCGGGAGGGGGCCGTGACACCGGCCGGGTGGAGCGCTGACATGGCACCTCGTCACCTGGCGAACCTGTGGCCCGCTGCCAGGCGGAGAGGGCGGGCGTCGGCCGGTGCGACTTCAGACAATGGGCAGTTGTGAGTTGTCTGACATGCCACACGTCTGTGGGGCTGACGCTGCTTCCGAGTGGGCCGCCGTGGACGGGCTGGTCCGCTGTGTGGGTGACCATGGCGACCACCTGGCCCAGTGCTGGCCGCTGTGTCGGTCGCGGGGTCGGGCGTGGGCGGCGTGTGCGGCGCGGCTGACCAGACGCGCTCACCGCCGCAGTGCCCAGCCAGCTGAACGGCCTGGACGTGGTGGAGAAGGGCGCCACAACGGCCGTCCTCAGCTGGGAGCGGCCCGTGCACTCCAGGGGGGGCATCATCAACTACGTCGTGTACTACAACAACACATACGAGAAGGTGAGCGACCGGACCTGCGGACGCGCGCTCATGGCCGGCGCGCTCCGCCCGCCCGGCGCGCCCCGAGGCCTCCGCAGAGGGCGGCCAGGCACTGCCCGGCGTCGGCGACAGCGGCTCCCGACAGCGACCGCGATCGAATGACAGACGGGCCAGCGATCTGTGGGCCACTTTACGGTCATCCCGTGACGTCCCAGAGAGGAGCCCGTCCAGAGCGTGGCTGTCGGTGCACCAACGGACAGTCGGCTCTGCTCACTGGAGCAGCCGGGCCGTGCTGTAGCGTGACCAGGCCGGCTGTATCGGCAGGCCGGCTGTGTCGGCTCGCCCGCCTGCCGGCAACATGTTATCACGTCGCAACATGTTGCGTGTTCTCAGATAAGCATATAATTGGTGAGGAAAACACTCTCAAACGCTGTGTCTGCTGCCAGACGAACATTGACGTTCAGTTTTTGTTGTTCGGGCTTCCGGAAGTTCATTCGCTTATCAGTCAGTGCTGTGGGATCTGTTTGTCATTGGCTTCTGCTGCCACACGACAGCTGCTTTACGGTGATTTCGATTCCCCGATCTTCCCTTATGGACGGCTGTCTCACTGGTGTACACACACAATGTAAATGGCATGGTATGTGGGGACGTGCCAAATATGGGCATGAGTAATGTACCCATAGGCCAAATTTTTCACACCATCTCTAAATCTCTGTTGTTTCAATACACGCTGTTTAGATTGTGGTATATTTGCGGGCTAAGCCCGAATTAGGCCTTAATCAGTTCTAATGGGGCGTTTCAGGGTTAAACTGTACTAATTATAGGCCCGTTTTGGTGGTGTACCCACAAACAAGGTCCAGCACACATGTCCCAACAAAACAGAATGGCGTGAATAGGTTGGTGTGTGTATGTGTGTGTGTGTGTGTGCGTGTGTGTGGCGCGCGCGCGTGCGTGCGTGTGTGTGTGCGTGCATACGTATACCGGTATCTCGGTCCCGTGTGTGTCTTTGTCGCTGTTCGGTCGAGGCCGGTGTGTCGGTGCTGCTGTGTGATGGGTACCGGTATCTCGGTCCCGTCTGTGTCTTTGTCGCTGTTCGGCCGAGGCCGGTGTGTCGGTGCTGCTGTGTGATGGGTACCGGTATCTCGGTCCCGTCTGTGTCTTTGTCGCTGTTCGGCCGAGGCCGGTGTGTCGGTGCTGCTATGTAATGGGTGCCGGTATCTCGGTCCCGTCTGTGTCTGTGTCGGTTTTGGTGTATGTGTCAGTGCTTCCGTACCCTCTGTGTCAAATGCTGCTGTCTCGTCTGTGCCGGTGTCATCCTCTTCTGTGTTAATGATGCTGTCCCGTATCTATCTCTGCAGCGTGTGTTTATGTGGCTGGCTGACTGGCTGGCTGGCGAGCGAGACAACATCAACTTCTCTGTCCATACTGCTGTCTCGCCTGTGTCCGTGCCGCTGTGTACTTGTGTCCCGACGCCGCCGCCCGGTCGGCCGTCGCCCACCTCTGCCGCGGAGTGGCTGCTGCCGCTCGGCCGCGCTCGTGGCCCGGCGCCGTCCGTCACGGGCCGGCCGTGTATTGGCGGCAAGCGGGCCGCGGCGGCGTGGTGCGGCCCGCCTGCGGCGCCCTCCGGCTCAGACGGCTCGGCTCCGGCGCATCAGCGGCGTCTCCTCTCGCCGCCGCTTTAGTTTACGGTGACGACGCTCATCCGGTAATGCGGCGGGGCCTCGCTTTGAGCCGCCGCCGCCTCGCCGGACCGCCGTCGGTCCACCGGCGCCGCGCACGGACGCCGTTTGAGTTGGTGCCAGTTGGTCGGCGTTCCTGTGTCAGCTTTGCGAGCGCGGCTCGGCTGTCCGGGTCCTAAGTTTGCGGCCGATGGCGTGCCGTGATCGGTCTGATTGAAGGCGATAGGCGTGTTTTGCCTCCGGCTGCGTCGCGCCGGTGCCGACGGGAGCCGACCGCCCGGGTGGGTCGGTTGAAGAGGCGGTCGAGTTCGGCCTGACGGCAGTGTTTTCCGGAGCGCCGGGAACTCCCGGGAGGGGCGGAGCGACGCCGGGAGCGCCGGAGGCAGGCTGCTCCCTCAGCTGAGCAACTGGGCTCGACGACTCGCGTTCTTGGCCACTGGGCCCGCCGCTCGGCCGACCAACTTTGGCAGAAGTCCGGCGGAGGCAGCTGCTCATTTGTTGACGGGGTCGGCCGACAACGGCCTGAAAATCAGTCATAGCCACTCCTCACTCTTCCATGCCGCTGATAGCACAAATTCTGATTAATCCGTTTTGCCTCATAAACATTCCATTGCAGGCGTCAACATGTGACCAGAAATACTTTAGGGGATCTAGCACGAGGAAACAGTTGGGAAAGAATCAACCTGTTTTAAGGCGGTTTTTCCACGTGATGCCAGAGACGTGGCGTGTTTGTCAAAAGCCACGGAGGTGTTTGCCCGCCTCCGCTCTATCATACGACGAAACCCGTGTGTGACCCGCGTAAGAGATATTCAGGTACTGTCTGGGGATAGATGATAACCCACGACCGTCTGGAGGTGCGCATTGGAGCATTAGCGCATGATCCGTTAGTTGTGTCGGATAAATTAGCTGCTTGGCTGCTTGTAGAAGCGCAGCCAGCCATGTAAACCTTAGCTTTTGTCATGTCTCACTGGCCCGACATAGCAGCAGCATCAACATTCTGCTGAAGCGTGTCCAGCTGATGTTTGGCGTGCGTTGAAAAGTTGGTGGACCCATCTGGAACAGTTTTTTAGTTGTTTCTGGAAATGGCATGGAATGCCTTCACTCCACCGGTGGCCATGCGTTCAAAAGCTTCTTTCAAGCATATTTGAAAGTTTAGCGTTGTGTTACGTACTTGGCGAGTTATTTTTCCATCGTGGAACGCTGAGATGCACAGACCCAGCGCATGTGCGCTTTTTGGCGAATGCTGTCACTCTGTGATCGGAGGCGCGGTGGACCGAGCTCTTCGGCCCGTCCTTTCGGCGCCTCCGCGGAGCTTGGAGTTGTGCAGGCTTTCGGCTGGCATCGTAACGTTCTCATTGCACGCTCTGCTCGCCGTGTGTTGGAAGCGCGGTGCTGGATGGCGCGCGCCACGTTTTCTCCCGGGCGTGGTCCCGGGCACTTGGCGCTGTCGACCGGCCGCCTAGCGGTGGAGTGCGGCGACGACGACACGCCGGCGAGGGCGAGCACCCTCTGGGTCAGCTGGGCGCGACAGGACGGCTCTCGAGAGGTGGTGACACGGACGGCAGGACGGGCGGCAGTGACGCACGCGCCGGCGCGCCGGCGACGGCCACCGCCGCCCGCCGCCGGCCCGGCCGGGCAGCTGTCGCTCGACGCCGTCGTCGCTGGCACGCTCTGGTGATGGCGTGCTCCAGTGATGGTACGCTCCGGTGATGGCACGCTCCTGTGATGGTACGCTCCGATGATGGCATGCTCCTGTGATGGTACGCTCCGATGATGGCACGCTCCGGTGATAGCGCGGAGCTGGGTGCCGCACGGCCATCGCGTCCATACGTCCTTCATTTGTGCACTACAAGATCTGTGGAAAGTTCCGAACATGCTCTGGACAGAGATGCGAAATGTTTCTCAAACGATCGGTGAACATCACATATGAAGACAGAAGAAAAATCGCATATGCCAGTCTTTTGGTGAGCATAGGTCAGTTCATTCTAAATCAAATAAGTTGCGGCAAAAGCTTATTCGTGACGTCATCGTGTGTATTCACTCTAAGCTCACATATGAAGGCAGAAAAATATCACAAACGCCAATTTTATTTGTTTTGGAAGTCTTGCGATCAGCCGTTTGGGGCGGGGGAGGGGGGATTCTCTCTCGTTTCTTTGGCGCGCGTTGCGCATCAATACAGGCGTGCTGCGCGTTATTGCACTTGTGTTTATTGCTCTGGTGGGCTGGGCCGGCCCAGTGCCGGCTGACACAGCGGGAGCTGGAGATGACTGGCGAAGGATGTGACAGCACGGCCAGGCGGGATAGCCCAGGTGGACGGGGAGCCCAGACCCGCCTCATCACATGTATCGAGGCGGACGTAGCTCCGGTTTCCGATTTTCCCGGAAGCCAAACTGGGAGGGAGTTGCTGCGATCTTGCGGTCGTTCCCTTCCACTAGATTCGCCGTGAGCGACATCAGGGCGTGTAATCGGTCCCTCCGTGCTGCTGCTGCCCGGACAGGGCAGCACCTGTGAGCTGCACAGATCTGTGTGTTTATTTGAATCACGTCACCGCGATATGGTGTCGTCACATTTAAATCCCAGACCGCCGGATGCCAGCAGTGATCAGCTGGAGCCGGTGCTCTGTCCGCATCAGCTCACATTACCAGCAGTGCTCAGCTGGAGCCGGTGCTATGTCGGCATCAGCTCACATTACCAGCAGTGCCCAGCTGGAGCCGGTGCTATGTCGGCATCAGCTCACATTACCAGCAGTGCTCAGCTGGAGCCGGTGCTATGTCCGCATCAGCTCACATTACCAGCAGTGCTCAGCTGGAGCCGGTGCTATGTCCGCATCAGCTCACGTCATCAGCAGTTGCTGGGCATCTTCACGCGTGGTTTCACGTCATTCGTCGTCATTCAGCGGAGGCGATCGATTGACATAAGTTAGGGTCATTGTTTTATTGTCTTTGTTTTATGGTGAGATATTGCACAGTATCGTTCTCTGTGACCAGTTTTGATGCGGACTGGAGCTCCTGCTCTGGGACTGGAGGGTAACGTCGAGGGTTATCCGGGCGGCCACAAGCTCCCCGCTACGGCCATGGTCGCCGGCGGGGCTGAAGCGTGCAGCCTGCTGAGGCTATAGCGCACCTCTCTGTTTCAGTCCGAATGGCGATGCTAGCGGTCCGTCTTTGCGACAGGCTTGTTCGTATGCGTGCGGATGTGGTTTGTGCGCATCACTGAGTAGCTCCTGTAGACGCTCGGTCACGGCGGCTTTTCCCAGACGACAAATGAGTCGGGTGTGGATTCTAAGCGGACTGGCTCTGGCAGCGAGCGATCCCCACATCATCAGCTGACTGACTGGCGGCGGGTCCCGACGGCGGCGCGTCTTGTGCGCGTGGCGCGGGTGACTCAGTGTTCGGGCTTTGGACGCCGCCGTGCCCGCCGCTCTGCACCGATCAAAGCCTGGCTCCGTACTGCTCGCGATCGACACGGTGCCGGACCGCCGCCTGGGGGTCCCTGCAGGCAAACTGCCGCCGACGCCCGGCCGCATTCCTGAGCCGATTGGCGCTGTTGGCGCAATGGCGCCCGTAATTAGCCCGAACCCGCGAAGCCCCGCGGCTACGTCGGCGGCGGCGGCGGCCGGGCCGGTAGCCGGCGGCGCCAGGGAGAGGACCGGGGTGACGCGGCGCCACCCTCCGCTCGCGGCTGGCTGGGCTCGGCGCAGCCACTCGCGCTACCAGTGGTGGCAGCCGCATGGGGTCTGGTGGCGCCGCCCGGCCGCGACGGCCGGCGGCCGGCCACCGAGCCTCACCTCGTTTGACCCGATCTCCGCAGGTGGAGCGGCGCATGGTGGTGCCACTGCACGAGCGCTATGAGATGAAGGACCTGTACCCGAACACGCTGTACTACGTGTGGGTGGCGGCCGTCTCTGGCAGAGGCGAGGGTGCTGCCACGCCGGCCATCCCGTTCCGCACCGAGGAGCATGGTAATTGTCTGGGCCGGTACTTTGGCTTTGTATTCGAGCACCGCGGAATGATCAGCACCGTGCACTCACACCATGTTGTTGTTTTGCGTGCACAGTAGTCTCACTTTATACTCCACTTATATATATATATATATATATATATATATATATATATATATATATATATATATATATATATACATCGGACCTCACATCGTGCCTGGCACTGACGGGCGTCCGATCGCCGTCTCACGTACAGTTCTGGCTGCTTTCCGTACGGATGTTTGGCTGGCGTGCTCCGGCTGCGCCGGCTCGCGGCCTCCACCGGCCGGGCCGGCTGGTACGGGGTTCGGGGGGGGGGGGGGGGGGGCGCAGGCCGCTGCAGCCTGAATCACATCCGCTTCATTGATGAGCTGGGAGCTGGTCGGGTGGTCGTGGCGTCGACTCAAAATTGATCGGGGAGATTTTCCGAAAGCGTCTTGATATCGCCCGGCATCGTTTCGTTCCTTTATTGATATCCCATCTTAAGAAATCTCCTGCACTAAAGCTTCGTTGGGCCAAAGTATCTTGCGCTTTTGGAGCCCGGTTTCGTGTGTGTGGGGGGGGGGGGGGAAGCAACCACTGAAAACCGTCTGAAACCACTAGAACTAGCTACTAACACCAGCCACCAGGATGACATTCCTGTTTTTGCGGGCGCTTTGGAGCATTTCGGGAAACGTGCAGCCGTACCTCAGGATGTTGCGAAAAGGATTTCTGCGTCCCTGTCCGTACCGGTCCCCCCACTGTCAGACGCCAGGAAACATTGCTCATGGCTAAAAGCACCAAACTCACCCAGTGCTACGCAGGGGAAGGTCTGGAGCTCTATTATATATCCAGGCGGCTTTAAAGGAAATATGATATGTACTGTGTTGGGAATGAACCGCTGGCATTTGGTCAAACTGCGTTTAAGACGGTATGTCGCCATAAACCTTTCTATGTAGCATCACGGATCCGGGTGCGGACTGAGATGCCTTTCTTTCTCGCTCTTTTTGGTGTTTTGTCTCTTTATCTGTCACTAGCAACTCTTTGTGACCTAGCGCACAGTTTTATTGCACATTTCCAGCGCGCAAGCATACGCAATCGTAAATAGGTACCCTTTCCAGCCGAGGAGTGGGCTGGGAGGGGTTAGAGCACGCGCACTGGGCAAGACGTCAAATTAACTCATGAGGACGGTCGGGGTCGTTTTTAGCTTCAGACACGCCAAAAAAAGCCGGCTCCGGTCAGGTGAAGGTGAACCAAAAGGTACTGCTCGAAACAGCAGACCCCCTCAAAACTGAGATGAAAACGTGGCACCCGTTTTGCGGGGGCTAGAGATTCCTCATTCATAACACTTCATGGTGTGTGTGCCGGGAACACTCGGCTTGTCACCTAGCGATACATTGCGTTGGGCTGGCCGATGCGGACGTGTTCACACCCCAGAATCGCCACCGCTTGATTCCAGGCGGCCGTGGCCGTCTGCGCTTGGTCGGCCTGACCGGCTAGAATGCCAACTTCCGTGCTGCCAACTATCATTTCTGACGCGGCGCCGTCGGGCGCTGTGGCCAGTCCAAGCCATGGCAGACAGGGTTTGCTACCGCTGCTGTTTGCCGAGAAAATGTATCCATGGGCCGTGCCATGGTGCTTGGGGGCCTGCTGAACACGAGGCGGCCGGGATAACTGGCTGTGCGTTCTGTGTGGCGGACGCCTCCCCATGCTTCGTCACGCAGAAGAGCCCCGGAATTGAGACAGTGCCCAAAGGTGTGCGGTGTGTGATTTGGGCGCTGTCAGAAGTGTTACCAAGCATTAGCCGTCTTCAAGAAGGGTTATGGGCTGTAGCAAAGGTGTAGAGTGTTCAGGCGGGGGTCACTTAGATCATAGAGACGTGAAGGAAGCCTCATGAAGCATGCGATAAGGGCCGAAACGGCCGTTCTAACGACATCAATTGATTTGTGCATCAGCAGCGCGCTTGCGCTCTGGTTGACGTATCTGGAGGGGTTTGCTCTGTTTCTTCAGTAGGCCTGTCGTAGGCATCACTTGACACTCCTTGCGCATGGTCTTCTTTCACAGGGCCTTCTGGTCTGTAGCTCTCAGTCGTCACCAATTTTGACATCCCGCCACTATTTTAGGGCACCGATGCGCCCCCCGACCCATTGTGCGCGCATCGAGGGCCGGGTAACTTTTGCTTGTCGTTTGTTTTTGGTCAACATGGTGTGCGGTGATTTGATATCTGGCCTCTCTTTCTCTGTTTCTCTCTCCCCTCCTCCCGTGACTGTGCGTGGTCCTCCATCTCTGAAAGGCCGGCAGTGAGTACTGAAGACTCTGTGGCCGCCAGCTCGGCCAGTCCGGACATGAATGCCGCCAGATTCGGCCGCCAACCGTTGTCGTTAGCCGTTTGCATGGCCGAGCTCGGCCCTGGACGTTTTCCCTCATCACCTTGCGTAGGTGGTAGCGGTTCGATGTGGTGTCCATGGATGCCGTGAAGCAGACCCTTGGCGCTGGTAACAGTTTCCCTACGTTCGTCAAGTTGGCACCACGTCCACATTCAGATTCAGGTCCATATTCGGGATTCAGCGGACTCCTCAAATTGCCCCGAAACTTTGCACGCAGATGCAGGTGGATCTCCTGAACACAATGAGCACAAAATCTCGGACCGCTACGCCCTATTACCGGAGATAGATCAATATCAAAGATCACGATAAAAAGGTGGACCCCTTCAATTCTTTCTAAACTCCGCGTGCTACTAGATATTGACCTACTGATTACGATAAACACAAAATCTGGGACCGGTACGCTGTATCAAAAAAGTTATAGCTGTTATGATGTCAAGGTCGTGAATGCGGCACGTATTGCACTTTATCATGCTTAACTCAGTTTCATATTCGAAATTCAGCGGGCTCCTCAAATTGGCCTGAAACTTTGCACACAGATGCAGTTGGATCTCCTGAACACAATGAGCACAAAATCTCGGACCGGAACGCCCTATTACCGGAGATATCACAGTATGAAAGATCACAATAAAAAAATGCGGACTCCTTCAATCCTTTCCGAAATCCGTGTGTGGGTACATATTAGCCCTCTACGATAAACACAAAATTTGGGACCGGTACGCTGTATCAAAAAAGTTATAGCTTTTCAAATGCCGAGCTGCCTAGGTATGACGAATATGAGGCGTGGAACCCATTCTCTTCATCCTTGACTCAATCTTTGATATTGATATATCTCCGGTAACAGGGCGTACCGGTCCGAGATTTTGTGCTCATTGTGTTCAGGAGGTTAAACTGCATCTGTGTGCAAAGTTTCAGGGTAATTTGAGGAGCCAGCTGGATCGCGAATATGGACCTGAATCTGAATGTGAATGTGGTGCCAACTTGACGGACGTAGTTTCCCTCTACCGTCTCCGAGGAGGGGTCGGGGCCTGGGGGAGGAGCGGTGGAGAATGGGGCGAGCACACAAGTCAGCGGAGTCGCGGTTAGCCCACGTCAACAGGTCACCGCGCCGGCTGTCAATTCTCAATACCCACTTGGCATGCTCTATGTCCCTCTATTTGTCTCTGTTCAAACAATGACTCGAGCGCGTCTGTCGCCATATAGATAGCTGGGTGTCGTGTCGCGTTTGCCATGGCGTTCTTCTCATAACCCAGGCGGGCTAGTCCTCGGCCAGTGAGCCGCGCTGTACAGACACTGATCCCTGCTAACGTAACGTCGGCTCCCATCTCCTCTGCTTGTGAGTGATTAGGCAGGCGCCGTGTGCGGCGGCGCTGTGGCAGCGCTTGGTTAGCGGCAGTGGCCGCGTGGCCGGTGTTGGGCGTGCTGTGTGTGTGCGGGGCTGGCGGCCGGACTGAGCTGAGCGCCGCTCCTACAGTGCCGGGCAAGCCGCGCAACCTGACCGCCCGCGTGCTGAACTCGACGGCCGTCCGGCTCACCTGGTCACTACCCACGGACCGTGAGCGCAACGACCTGATCCTCGGGTACCAGGTCCTCGTGCAAGAGCTAGGCACGGAGGTGAGGCGGTCCGACCGACGCCAGCCTCGTGCAGCCGGCCTGGTCTAGCACCGGCGCCAGTCACCGGCCGGCTAGGGCCCAGGCCCGGGCCAGCGGTGGAAGTGGGGCCGCACCCAAGTGCGGCCGAGTGCTTTGATATTGGACTTAAGATTATGCTTTATGCGCTTCACTCTGTAAAATGCGCACGTTTATATGGTAGTTCAAGTTATATACTGTGACAAAATTAGAGGTTCAGAACAAATACACCAGACTAACAAATACGTGGTCAACGACATTGAACGAAGATGGGCGCGGTGTTATCTCCAGCAGCAAACACCTTCACGACTCAAGAAATGTGCCCGGAGAGCGAGTGAACATCGGCAAGCTCGCCTTAGAAATTAAATATCCTAGACATGGGTTTTTCTCTCTGCGTGTCGCGTAAACAACACTATGCCAGAACTAGTTACACTACACAGGAATGAAAAATTAGACTAGCATTAGCCTTATTCCTCGGAAAAAAACAGGAGAATAGAGATATAGTTAGGTTGATATTTCGGCAATATGCCTTTATTGAAACAATACCAGACATTAATTAGAATTGCCTGCTGATGCTCTACTCGATTTTTCAGTTGTTTTTTTTTGGAAAGAGCAAGCCACAGTTTTTACTGGACACCAACATTCAGAGGATTAAACAAAGAGCGATTGGCAGCCATTACCAAGATACCGTGCCTACCTGAGAAGTAGAAAGCCCGAACATACGTGTACATGCAAGCGACTTCAAGCAAATAGACATCACGCATCACGTTTCATTCGAACATATAAGCAAGTTGAAGCAAACAGGCATCACACATCGCGCAACAGTTATGCGTGCAAACGATTCAATTGAACAGGCAGCGCGCGTCGCGCGACAGGCATCACTTACACATGTAAACGATTTTAAGCTAGCACACATCACACATAAAGGCACAGTATCACACTCGCATATCGGCCATGGTGGGCCCTGCATGTTAGGATTTGGTCGCCGACTTTTATAAAAATAAATTCACTCATTTTCATGTATGGGTGGTCCTGTGTTCTGTGGATGACTTTGAGCTTTAGAAGAGGGATAGGATCCATACTTCCCTCGATTTCAGCCTAAGCGTGTTTTGCCAGAAAGTAGTCATCGAAACGGGTATTCCCTGTTTTGTTTTTAAGCGCCTCGCAAGGTGTTCTTTATATCTCAAACGAATAGGGCGCATGGACTCCCCGGCATACAGTATGTCCCTCCCATGTTTTTTTCACAAAGTGCACACTTGATTTCGTAAACCACGTTTTTTGCGTGCAAACCCCTCGGAACCCAGAACTGCCTAAATGACATCTGTTGCCACCCGGCCACTTTGGCTTCGAGATGGAAGGATTTTCACCACAGACTTTAAGCTGGTTGTCGTTTTTTCCAAGCTATGCGCACGCCCAGTTTTGATTTTAACCAACGTTTTCCTGTTTTTTTTCGGGGGAGCAAGGCTAATGCTGCTGTATTGTCTATGTGGCTAATGATCCTCTGTGATGCACTGAAGAACTTACGGAATGAAAAAGAATTTGGAGCGTTTTGCGTGATCTGAGGATGTGGCAGGGATGACGTCACCGATCACGTCACCGTGTGCCAGCCTGGTCCTGCTGGGCGGCCGTCCGCCTGGCGCCCGCCTGACGCCTGTGCCGCGCCGCTCGGCAGGGCAACGGCCGCTCGTCCCGGCCGCGACGCTACGAGATCCGCGACGGCGAGGCGGCCGACTACACGGCGGCCGACCTGCAGCCCAGCACCTCCTACCTGTTCCGGGTGGGTGGACGCGCCGGCCGCCGGGCTCTGCCCACGCCTCTGTTCGCCCCGGGCCTTGGTCGGCTGGTGGGAGAGGTGGCGGCGAGAGACATGAGATATCGCCGGGAGAAGGGGTGGATGCTCCGGCGGCTGTTGGGTGGGCGTGGTGTTTGGGTGGGCTGTTGGGTGGGGTGGCGTGGTCGTGCGGTGTCATGCGAGCGCACGCGGGGTTGTCGGTGTCGGTGTTGACGTGGTGCGCAGACAGCGCTGCTGGCCTTGCAACGAAAGCAAGCTGCATGCGCTGCCTGGGTCGTCGCAGTCTACTCTGTAAGCTGGCCACCAGTTGGGGTGATGGCCGACCGGTGCCTGTGGCGTGCTCTGGTCGCTCGGTGCGGTGCTCTCCTTGGGCGCGGCCGACCATCGTCTGACGCCTGCGGCCGTGTCGGCGAGCCTGAGCTGTGTCGATGCGCCGCCGCCAGGTGTCGGCACTCACTCGCAAGGGGGACGGCTCGCGCAGCGACGCGGCGCGCGCCACCACACAGGGCAGCGTGCCCAGCCAGCCCGACGTGCACATCAAGTGAGTGGCTGCGGTGCGAGCGGCGCCCGCAGTGTGCGCTGCACTGGACCGGCTCTTGGCGGCGGCGAGACGTCCCTGGCTGAAATCGTGCGCTTGACCACGGTTGATGAGTACTGCAATGAGTGCTGTCCTGATGGGTATTGTAATGAGTACTGTGTTGGTGAGTACTGTAATGAGTACTGTGTTGATGAGTACTGTAATGAGTACTGTGTTGATGAGTACTGTAATGAATGATGTGTTGGGTGAGTACTGTAATGAGCACTGTGTTGATGAGTACTGTGGTCGTGGTGCTTCAGGGAAATGCTGAAGGCCGGAAGAGTGTGGACCGACAGTGGGCGCCAGCTCGTCAGGGACTGACCGATGCGCACGTGTCCGGCAGAGTGATCAAGGAGGAGGAGCGGGTGACGCTGGACGTGGAGTGGTCTCGCCCGACCGAGACGCACGGTGTGTTACTCGGCTACCGGCTGCGCTACGGCCGGACGGGCGACGCCGCCAGGCTCAGGGAGGTCACCATCGCCGGAAACACGACCCAGTACAAACGGCTCAGCGACCTGGGTTAGTCGGGCCCCCGAGAGGCCAATTCGCGTGTCTCCTCTCCGCCCCGACCCGCCAATCCCCTCGTGGGTGGGTGTGTGAGTGTGGGTGTGAGTTGAGTGTGAGGTGAGTTTGGTGTGGGTGTTGGTGGGGTGCGTGTGTCCGCGTACGCACGCACACACGCGTGCACGCGCGCGCTTCCAGTGGCGTGGCTGGCAACGCGCTGTCGTGCGCCCTACTCCACCGCCGTGTACCGGACACGTGCCCGCCGAGTCCTGAGTCCGCCGTAAGTACTGTCGTGGTTCCTGTAGTGAGTCCTGTCATGAATCCCGCCGTAAGTACTGTCGTGGTTCCTGTAGTGAGTCCTGTCATGAGTCCCGCCGTAAGTACTGTCGTGGTTCCTGTAGTGAGTCCTGTCATGATCCCGCCGTAAGCACCGTCGTGGCTCTTACAGTGAGTCCTGTCATGAGTCCCCCGTAACACCGCCGTGGCTCCTGCAGTGAGTCCTGTCATGAGTCCGGCCGTAATTCCTGCCGTGAGTCAGACCTGAGTCGGCTGGCTGGCCCGGGCTGAGCCGTCGCGGCCGGCCGGCAGAACGTGGCGTCGAGTACGAGTTTCGCGTGAGCGGCCGGAACGACGTCGGCCACGGCCAGGAGCAGATCATCACGTACAACGCGAGCGAGGGCGCGCCGTCCGGCCCCGTCACCAACGTCACGTTCAGGTGGGTGGCGGCCGGGCGGGGCGCCGCTGCCGACGCGCCAGCAGTGGCGACTCAGGACCTGGCCAGCTTAGCCGCCAGGAAACATGGTATGTGGGCTGTGGGGGAGGAAGGGCAGGAAATAAACAAATTTGCCCTTTAAATGACCGAATTTGACCAAATGACCAATACATTTTGAAATGGGCACAAAATGACCACTTGCAGGTCGGCGCGTCCTAAAACACCAAGACACAAGCAGTAGCACCCTGTAATTTCTCTCGTTTCATAGCATTTGTATATTGTAATCAATCGAACCTATTAATGTCTTACGATTGTTTTCTCGGGCCTTTGCGAAGAATCGTACTCCTTAACATTCTGGATGCCTTTTTAGGCCATGTATTGCATGCTTTTGCTACAAAACTACAGGATGTCAGCGATAATTGTTCAGAGATGATACAATCCATTCCTACATAAATCATTTTTTTATTCCGCGGCATTACTCGGTTTGGGGGCATTTCGGACGATTGTGTGCTTTTGACTTCAAAACGCGCCTAATTTGCCAGCGTACCAGCGTTGTTGGCGCCAGCGGATTTTGCGCTTCGTGAGGAATGTAGTGCGATCTTGGTATCTTGTCTCGTGTGATCTTCCGCGCAGTAATGATATACTCGAGTCGCTTCCGCTCTCGCTATTGACCCTTGGCTGGGATGACTTGCGGTCGGTGGTAGCGGCCGCCCAAGGTCACATGAGGCTATAGGGCGCAGTGGACTGTGCCGAGGATTACGACACGCCAAACTTCCGCACAGAATTCTGCCTTTGATCTGAAACTGTACGATCGCCTGGTGGGATTGAGGTTCACAGAACATGGGCTGTTTAGCGTGAACTTACCGACACCGGAAACCCATGCCACCTAAATGCTCCGATCAAATGAAAAAATGAGATAAAAGCATAATAAAACATCACATAAAAGGGTAAAGCAGGCTCACAGGTTCACAGGTTTACAAACAGACAAAACAGGTTTAGGCCACATTTGCATTGGGCGAACAGATCGCTGCAGGTATTGCGGCTAGAATGGGAGCGGGGCTTTGCTGTGACGTGTCCACGTAATTAAAAGCTTATCCTGGCGGCCTCCACTCGGACCTCTCGACGTGCCTGATCCGTTGTCACGCACGGGGGAGCACGCGGCTGTCGGCCATAAGTAAAACCGGGACACGGGTTTGCGGATAACGACGCGTTTGCCACAGGTGCTGCTGGTGCTAGTTTTTCGGCGGGTGATGTCGGACTGACCGTGCCCTCCTGCGGGTGATGTCGTGCCCTCCGGCGGGCGATGTCGGACTGACCGTGCCCTCCGGCGGGTGATATCGGGCCCTCCGGCGGGTGATATCGGGCCCTCCGGCGGGTGATGTCGAACTGACCGTGCCCTCCGACGGGCGATGTGCCTCCGGCGGATGATGTCGGGCCCTTGGGCGGGCGATGTCGGGCCCTCCGGCGGGTGATGTGCCCTCCGGCGGGTGATGTCGGGCCCTCCGACGGGCGATGTCGGACTGACTGTGCCCTCCGGCGGGTGATGTCGGACTGGGCTGTGCCCTCCGGCGGGTGGTTGTCGGGACTGACCGTGCCCTCCGACGGATGATGTCGGGCCCTCCGGCGGGCGATGTCGGACTGACCGTGCCCTCCGACGGGTGATGTCGGGGCCCTCCGACGGGCGATGTCGGACTGGCTGTGCCCTCCGACGGGCGATGTCGGACTGACTGTGCTTTCCGACGGGTGATGTCGGGCCCTCCGACGCGCGATGTCGGACTGACTGTGCCCTCCGGCGGGTGATGTCGGACTGACCGCGCCCCCCGCGGTGTGTCGCCAGATTCCAGGCGACCGATCGGGTGGCGTTCACCTGGATCCGCCACGATCAGACCAGCGAAACGGCAAGATCACCGGCTACAGTGTGCAGCTCCACAAGGAGGGCAACCTTGACCACGTGGAGCGGATGCACCCCAACGACACCAAGGTTTGCGACATCCGGTCCCGCACGTGCCTCCCATCTCTTCCCTGTCCTGACATAGCTGGCAGAGGCCGACGCATTAGGCCGACTCCGGCTGGTATAACAAACTGAACTTCAGTGCTTGAGAGCTAGTCCAGCACTGCTCTCACACTGTCAGATAAGTATGGACCCTTTTCGTGCGGGGCCTCGTTGGCGGCCGCGGTGATCAAAGAACGCCTTTGTTTTAATCGTCAGGTGTTCGGTGTACCGTGACGTACGGTAGCGTTTGCGAGCGATGGCGGCGCGCTCTCCTCGGCGCGCAGTCGTGCTGCCCGTCAGGCCGCCGTGTGCCGTGCAGGTGGTGTTCACCAAGCTGGAGGAGAGCACGGCGTACGTGTTCCGGGCGCGCGCCAACACGTCGGTGGGCGCCGGGCCGTGGAGTGCGCCCTTCTTGGTCAGCACCGAGAGTGACCTGGTGCGGCCGCCCATCAACCTGCGCGCCATGGCCACCAGCTTCTCAAGCGTCGAGGTGTGGTGGGAGCACGTGCACACCGCCACACAGATCGTCGGATACCAGGTCAGTGGGCGAGACCCGGGGCCGAGACGGCGCCACGCCGCGGCCGCCCAACCTGCGCGAACGTCATGTGGCGGGCGGGTATGTCTGTTGGTGGGGTGGGGCCGCGGCTCATCGCAAGCGTTGGCTTCGTCCCCGATGCCGTACGTTCTGTCCATCTCCTGTTTTCTGTCCGTAAAGGGAATATTCCACATTGGAAGATATGGAATCAAGCATCAGATTTGATGAAATAAGCTCATGTATTACTCTCGTTATGTTTTTAATTGGAAAAGATTGCTCTAGGCAACAAAGCTTCTTTTTTTTGTAAATATGCTCATCAATAGATCACCTTTTGATTACGTCATGAAACGCTTGTGTGACGGCACTCACTAGTTCTTCAATCCCCCGGCAGTTAGCCTCCCGGGTGGTGATGATGGCTGTGTGCTGAACCAAATATCGTTACGACGGGACTCGCGACATGACAAATAGCGTGCTCGTGTTTTGGCCCTTGCTGGTGTTCTGGCATATTGTTTTCCGTGATTCTAAGCTGTGTACTTTATTGACCTCTCGGCTATAGCGCTTTTCTCATGTTTGTCGATTACAGGCCTTTTTCCGCGCTAAATAGGCAGGATGCATGACTTCTTGTATTTCTCAGCACAAAACGTGATTCGTGAAGAATATCCGACCGACCATTTTATCGTCTTATCGTATTTCTTGCGTCATCTTGAATGCTCGCAATGCCCCGCTTGTCCGGGGCAGGGTGCATACATCAGTCGCGTGTTGGCCGAGTGGTCCCTGCAGGGTCCTCGACCTGGCTCTCCCTTACACAACATCAAGTGAGAGCCAGTTGACGGCCGTTTTTTCTGGCAAGCGCACTCACGAGCGTTACATGTGAATGGCTTGACAATTATATTTGCTTGACCTTGAACGCCGCGTGGCCAGTTGAATGGCAGGATTTGAATGGCATTGTGCCGCGAAGGATGGCTTGGCAATCTTGAAATAGTTGGCACGAAGTAGTATGTACATTGGGGTGTGTCATCAGTAACGAAACCAAGTGAGACAAAGAAGTTTTCGCGCAGGGGTCCAAAAGTACACGACGTAGCAAAAGTTATTCCCAAAAACTTAATTTCGTGACGCGCGAGACGATAAAGATATCGCCGTAAACCGATGCCTGGCGTTGCATTCACCCAGTGCTGGGCGGCGTTCGTCACCGCAGGTAACACTAAGCCGTGGCGGCAAGCGATACAAAATACCATTGCGTATGGAAACGATGCTACCGAGCGCTCCTTAGGCCGTCGTACGAGATTGTCCCGGTCTAAGGTCTAATATGCGGATCCGACATTGGCTGATTGGTTCACGTATGGCGGAACCTCTACGTGCTGTTGAGAATGAGCTCGCACGGGTATCTTGGTTAGTGCTGCTTTAGATTTTCACTTCTCTGAAACGACTCCCGTGATGCAAACAATACCATGCATAGCATATGACTCAGAATAAATTGTCTGGTGCACAACTTAATGCATATAGCAGCTTGTACCACGTGCGTAGAGAGGGGGAGGGGTAGGGTGCCCCCATGCACAGCTTGCTCGCGGCCGAGCCTGCCTGTTCGATGCACCGGCCCAAACAGCAACTGCTCACAGATTGGAAACCCAAAACGCCTGTTGGCAGAGATCGCGCGGTAGCAGAAATACCTTTGCAGTTGGGCCCCACATATTGCTGAAGCTCCAGCTCCGGCCGCGGACGTCTTCGGCAGTTCGTGCTCCTAATTCGGGGATAATGCTTTTTCATATTTACCTGACGTGGTTCCATGGTCCGATTCGCCGCTGGGCTGCCACGCTTCGGACAGAGCCGTTTTGAACGCAGGAGGCTAGAAGGTACAGCAGCTGCTAGTTGGTGCCGAGCTGCTGGATCAGGTCGACCGGCAGGTTTGGCACGTGCCCGGCATAGGCTTGAATGCCACAACGTCCCTCTCCCAGACCTCTCCGGCACAGGTCTTGCCGATGGGTTCAGAAAAGAATCGATCCCGCGGTCGTGCCGTCTAAGGTCAGCAGTGGGTGGAGGAGGTTCAGCTCGTTGCCGTGTAGCTGGCAGATGAACCGGTTTACGGGTGACTCGGTGGTCATCTCAAGCAACCGGAACACGATGCCTATCGTCTCGGTGTTGACAACCGTGCCTTCGCAGCTGAGCACATTGATGTGACCGTCGCGCTGCGGGCTCACGGAGCGTAGCTCGTTGAGCAGGTGCAGGGTGCGGGCCGAACTCGGACGTAAAATGAGTGTAGCAGCGGCTGCCAGGCTCAGGCAGGCATTTTAACGAGCCGTCTCCTATCTCGCCCTGCATCTTGCGCAGCAGATCTTACGATCTACGATATTATATTTCAAGTACCCAGTCCGTCTCTGCTGTCTCGTTGAAAGGCGATGATAGCAGCGACGACCCGTTGCGAGCCACCATAGCTGTCAACCGCCAGAGCGGTGTTAGATCGTTAACGTCATTATCTACAGTGGCAGCGGTCTCAACAGGAACGAACAATCGGTGTCGTCGCCACCTCCTACCATGTACGGAACCGTGTAAGAATCCGTGCTCTCAGCTGACACGCCAGCGCTGAGACCACTTGGTCCCGTAGCAGGCTTGGGGTCAGCACTAGCAGCCAGCGCTAGGTCAGCGGGCGGCATGGGCTCAGCAGTCGACGGGGAAGGCGACTCAGGTTCAGCAGCAGACACTGCCTCAATGGCGGCCGAGCCACAACGCCCCTGGAGTTGTCTGGCCATCCTCCGCGCCTCGCAAGCCTCCCTAGTCACAATCGTATCCCGGTCATATGACTCCAGGGTAAGCTTCCGGTACCTGCACTGGTCCTCCATGGCAACCTCCTCCTGATACACTGTGCAGGCAACTGGGCATGGAAAGCTGCACGTCGGCCTGCACTTGCATTTTGCGACATCAAGAAGCTTGTTGAATTTCGCGGTGGCGGCGTTGCTGTGTCACTCTCTTTCTTTCGTTGATTTCTTGCTGGTAGCTCTGTTGCGTTGATATAAATCCCTCTCGGTCAATTTTGTCACGTATTTTGGATCATGAACAGGGATCACTTCGTTGGTACACAGTACTCTGATTTCTATCGTCGCGGTCTTGAAGATGGTATTAGTGAGATTCCTCTTCGATTCGCTCAGTCACCTGATGTAGCTCAAGGCTTTCCCGTAGTCGGCAGCTGGTGGTGGGACAGTAGAGCCGGGTGGCCTATCACAAAATATTTTTGCGCGACCGTGTAGCCTTTGGCATGCTTATGCAAGTAATTGTTCGAAAAAATGTTTCTGTACCGGCAAAACTAAACGAATGAACTCATATCGCACACACAACAAGCAAATGAATTGCAAATCAACATCACAGTGATGCGTTAGCAACCGCAAACTGGAACATACCTCGGTCTGCTGGCGATGAATTTTTGGTTTCACCGAAAATTAATGTTCTTTAATGAAAAGTCAGCTTAAGATGTTTGGCAATTCTTTGCTGGTGCTCTTCATGATATTTGTTTCATGCTTAATCCAATAGGTACTAGTCGTGTAGAAGGTAGCAAGTTTCAGGCTTGTTGGAGCAAGATCCCAGTGCGTAAAACAGGTGACGCTAGTATCGAATACGACTTTCTTGGCCTATCAAAGAAAAACTGCTCTCGCATCACAGATATTAACATTGGTGCGGTGCAACAGAGCTGAAAGCGTATCATTAATCCGTGTGTCAAGGAAAAACTCTTGTTCCAGTTGGTTCCAAGAGACTCACCCCTCGATAACGCACCGTAATGTACATTTTCGCGGGCGGGCGTGTAGATCAGAAACTGGCGGGGTTTATGTCGTGAGAAGAACAGGGCTGTGAACTACACCGAATGCTCTCCAAGTATTTCCGTTCAAAACTCCATACAGAAGTGGAACAATCCCTCTAAGCATCCGCATCTGTATGTCGGTGAGGAGGCACGCCCGTTGTTACACTAGCCGGCGCCTCAGAATGCTGCAGTGCGGTCGGGTCCTCGGGCGGGGGCGGTCGGGTCCTCGGGCGGGGGCGGTCGGGTCCTCGGGCGGGGGCGGTCGGGTCCTCGGGCGGCAGTGGTCGGGTCCTCGGACGGCGGCAGCCGGGTCCTCGGGCGGGGGCGGTCGGGTCCTCGGGCGGGGGCGGTCGGGTCCTCGGGCGGGGGCGGTCGGGTCCTCGGGCGGCGGTGGTCGGGTCCTCGGGCGGGGGCGGTCGGGTCCTCGGGCGGGGGCGGTCGGGTCCTCGCTCGGCGGCGGTCGGCCGCCGTGGTCGCCCTGTGGACCGTGACAAGCCGGGCGGCCGCCAGGTGTTCTACGCCATGGCGCCCGGGACGGACCTAGACGCCTGGTCGTTCAAGAAGGTGCCGATCACCACGTCTGCTGAGCTGAAGAACCTGGACAAGCACGCCCAGTACGCCATCGTGGTGGCCGCGCGCAGCAAGTCGGTAAGCGACGGGTCGGGCGCGACTTAGAGGCGTCCGGGGCTGCCGGCCAGGTAGCTCTGGCCGGCCACCGGCTCCGTGTCCGGTCAGGGATGCGCTGGTGGTCTATGTGGTGCCACTTCATTTTGTTTCGGTGTTAAACACAGAACCCATAGTGTGTGGGGCGTGTTTTGCCAGGAAGGCATGCTGTCTTCGTTCCGTTGTACGAAACCGAATATTACATGCGCGCCAGAATGTCCGTGAGCAGCAGTCTCACCAATGTCTGATGTGGCCGTGTCGACACGATTGCTGTTGGACTGTATTGAAAATTACACCACTTTTGAAATAAAAAGCCTTGGCTGTTCCTCGAACCTGACCCTCTCCCTGGACATGACCCGCTCCTTAGACCTGGCTAGCGACTCAGACCTGACCCGGTCCTTGGACCTCACTCGTCTTGGACCTGGTCCGCGGCGTCTGCCCCCAGGGTCTGGGCCGTCTCTCGGACCTGACCCGCGGTGTCTGCCGCCAGGGTCTGGGCCGTCTCTCGGACCTGATCTGCGTGCGCGTGAAGCCAATCGACGTACCGCTGAACCTGCACGCGCTCAGCGTGCACGCGCACGGCGTATCGCTGACGTGGCGCCGGCCGGCGCACCTTGACCCGCGCAACTACCGCATCCGCTACGACGCTGTCAAGGAGTTCCTCGACGCCGAGGGCGTAACACAGTCGCATCGCATCGAGCCGCGCTCGCTGATCCTGGACGCCAAGTGGTGCGAAAAGAGGAGCATCTGCCGCAAGCAGATCGAGGACCTGGAGCCGTTCACCACGTACACGGTGAACGTGACGGCCGTGCCCGACGACAACGGCTACCGCGCGCCGGCCAAGATCCGCGTCACAACTCAGATGGCCGGTAGGTCAGGCGCCAGCAGCGGCGGCGGCGGCGACGCTGCGCGTCTGACTGAGTGGGAGGAGTGAGGGGACTCTGCGCGGCAGACGGACGGCGGGAGGCGTTCTAGAGCGCGAGAATCGGCCCCAGGTGACAGATCGTCCGGGGCTGAGGCGCTTGTACGTTATGGCCCTCATTGTGAGATGGGAAGCCTAGTCAGCTGCTTTCACGAGCCTTTTCTGACTGTGTTGTGGCGCTGGCGTGATCGGGAGGCTTGTTCATGTCACTGTCGTTGGCGATAGACGACCAACAACCGCTCAATCGTGCTCACGTGGAATCGGTACGTCGCTAGGTCAGCCCGATGGTCAGAGGGACGTGACCTGCACATGTGACCGCCGTTCGGTGACCGGCCTCCCTGCACAGCCAAACGACTGTATCGCTGTCAGCGTGGACTGTGTCTGACGCGCACGCCTTCCGCTGTCCTTGCCGTGATTGGTCTGTTGTACGGCCGGCCTGAGTGCCGTCTGCGCGTCTCTGCAGCGCCGCAGCCGATGGCGAAGCCCGACCCGTTCGGCGTGCGCAACCAGAAGGTGACGGTGACCCTGCCGTGCGTCTCGGAAGAGTACGGCCCCATCTCGCACTACTTTGTCGTGGTGGTGCCCGAACACGACGTCAGGGAGCATCCGGACTCGCACAGCACAAAGAAGGTGAGCGGCGGCGGCGCGGCGGGCGCTGCCTCGCTGCAGCGCCCGCCGCGCAGAGCTCACAGCCGGCAGCGCGGCTCGAGCAGGCCCAGCTCGCGGCTGAAGGGTCGAGCCGGGCCGACGTCCGCCCTCGCGCTGCTCTCGCTAGCAGCCACAGGCCGAGCGCAGGCGGCCGACCGGAAGCGCGCATGTGGCAGGCGCCGCGCGGTCGGCACCCTGCCGTCGACGCCGGTCGGTCACTCGGCCTCTCCCGCCGCCAGATGGTGGAGGGGAAGCGCTCCGAGCTGATGCCCAACTACCGGCCGTACATCACCGCCATGTTCCACCAGCGCAACATCCCGTACACCTTCGCGCTCGGGGACGGTCGCAAGTACGACGGCTTCGTCAACAAGCCGCTGGAGAAGGGCAAGAAGTACCGCATCTTCGTGCATGCCGTCGTGGACATGCCGGCGCAGGTCAGTGGGGGGGGGGGGGGGGGCGGCTCACGTGGCTGAGGCAGCTGAAGCAGGCGGCGGCGGGTGCCACTCCTCATTGGCGACTACGGCGCCGTGGCCAAGACACTGTCCGGCTCGGATACGTCTCTTGGCTTTGGCCGGAAGAGGTAACCGACGGTTTGTTGCGTGGTCTTGGGCGCCGGTTTTACACGGCTGTTGAGCCGGCATATGCAGCGGTGCCGTCTGTGTCAGGTCTGTGGGGGACTGTGCGGCTGGGTTCCGTCTGTCGGCCTCTGTAGCGGCCGGGCATCTCATCCTGCCCACTGTGCTGTTGTCAATCTGACGTGACTTCCTCCGGCCTTTGGTAGCCGTCCGCGTCCAGTCCGTACTCAGAACTGCCCTGTCCACACTCCATGTGACCTGACCGGAGCCGTCGCCTCGTGCAGGAGCTGTTCACGTCCAGTCCGTACTGCCCTGTCCACACTTCACGTGACCTGACCGGAGCCGTCACCTCGTGCAGGACCTGTTCACGTCCAGTCCGTACTCAGAACTGCTCAGTCTGGACATGAAGCGGCCGCGGGCGGGCGCGTCGTACTCCTCGTCCAGCCTGGTCTGGGTGGTGGGTCCGACGGCCGTCGGTCTGTTGCTGCTCATCATCCTGGTGCCGTACATCGTCATCGCCGCTGGGAGGTGAGCGGGCCGAGCGTCGCCGCTCCGCTGCCGCGCGTGATTCGGTGGGACGGGAAGCCGGACGCCCCGGAGCCCAAGGGGGCGCGGCGTGACGACTGCAGGCTGAGGCGCAGGCGGGGTCGTGATGAGCGGCTTGAGTTGGTGGCACGGCCTGCTGCCAGCGGTATTGGCGATCTGCGACTAGATATAGATCATACTAACCTGAAGCAGGGGCAACGGAAGTAGCCTTGACCATTCAATGACCTACGTTTTGTACTGGCCTCTGGTCGTGCTTCCCGGTATGACCAGAGCACAGCAGCTGTGCTCAGCCTTGGCTTAGGTCTGCCCTGGTTGTCTGGTTAACATGATCGTGACCTGTCCAATGTCGAGCTCTCTAACGTTCTCTTCACCGGACCAGATGGTGACCTGTCCAATGACGAGCTCTCTGACGATCTCTCCACCGGACCAGATGGTGACCTGTCCATTGATGAGCTCTCTGACGTTCTCTTCACTGGACCAGATGGTGACCTGTCCATTGATGAGCTCTCTGACGTTCTCTTCACCGGACCAGATCGCACCGTGGCCGTTCCGGCCTCTGCTTCGGGTCAGACCGGCCTGCGCGGCCAAGATCAGCTGCATCTGGCACCGAGCGCGGACTGACGTAGTCTCAGCCCACTTGACCACGCCCGCTCTGACTGACCGTGCCTGAGCTGGCGTGGTCTGACGTCCCCTTCCGCGCCAGGTGCGGCAGGCGGCGCCAGTTGCAGAGATCGCCAGAGCCAGCCACCGTGATGAAGCCGCCGATGTGCGACATGGCGGCGCCGGCCAGCCACGCGCAGACCGACCCGGCCGAGGTCCGGCGCCAGAACCTCCAGACGCCCGGCATGATATCGCACCCACCCGTACACGTTAGCCAGCTGGCCGACCACGTGGAAGCGCTCAAGGCCAACGACAACAGCAAGTTCTCGCAGGAGTACGGGGTGCACCCCCGGGGGACTCGGGGTTGCACGGTTTGCACGGCTCGCACGGCGAGGGAGTTGGGGCGGGTGGACGCGTTGGGGTGATCTGAGCGGCTCATGTCGGTATGGGGGTCATGCTGAGGCGGCACGCTGTTGTCTGACTGAAGTGCGGTATGTGGTCCCTCCGCCGGCGCAGCTCCTGGACTCCGTCCGAGAGTGCGTCCCCAGGTCACCTGCAGATGTCGCTGCCGCTCAGCGACGGACAGTCTAGCTGCCCGTCCGAACGTCACCGACCTGTGACACGCCGCCTCCCGCCGCGTGGGCGAACGTCACCGACCTTTGACACGTCGCCTCCCGCCGCGTGGGCGAACGTCGCATTCTGTCCGGAGTCCCACTGACTGCGCCACTCCCATCGCTCTGTCGGCAGTCGATCGAGCCGGGCCAGCAGTTCACCTGGTTCAACTCCAACCTGGACGTGGATCAGCCCAAGAACCGATATGCCCACATCTTAGCGTACGACCACTCGCGCGTGGTGCTGCAGTCGGAGGAGGGGCTGGCGGGCAGCGACTACATCAATGCCAACTTCTCCGACGGCTACCTCAAGCACAACGCCTACATCGCCACCCAGGTGCGTCTCGGCCGCCGGAGGAGAGGGGACATCGGCTTCAGCGAGGTTGTATGGCAGCATTTCACCGCTCTGGGCGTTCTGTTTATGATGGGAACTGTAGATGTACTGTATGGAACTGTAGGGAACATGATGGGACCCATGATGGGAACTGTAGTGAGTGCTGAGTCGTTCAAACGCATTTGTGTCGTCCCTTGTGAGGCTGGTATGCACTGTTGCCGTCAGCCACTGCTGGGATGGGGTCTGGATGTTTTCTAGGTGAGGCTTGTACGTCCTGTCGCCGTCAGCCGCTGCTGGGCTGGGGTCTGTGTGTTTTTGAGATGAGGCTTTATGTACTGGCGCCGTCAGCCACTGCTGGGCTGGGATCTGGGTGCTTTCGAGACCACCAGTGGCTGAGGGCTGCTTTGTTTGAACCCCGCCGTACCTGAACCCGGTCGTGTCTACACCCCACCGTGTCTGACCCCTCTGTGTCTGAACCCCACCATGTTTGAACCCCGCCATGTATGAGCCCTGCCGTGTTTGACCTGGTTGTGTATGAACCCCGCGGTGTTTGACCGCACCACGGCCGGTGCCGCAGGGCCCGCTGCCCGAAACGCTCTCCGACTTCTGGCGCATGGTGTGGGAGCAGCGCAGCTTCACTATCGTCATGATAACGCGCCTGGAGGAGCGGGCGCGCATCAAGTGCGATCAGTACTGGCCCACCAAGGGCACGAAGTCGTACTGGCCCATCCACGTGACGCTCACAGACAGTCAGGAGCTGGCCAGCTACGTGGTCCGCACCTTTCAGCTGCAGCGGGTACGTGCCGTCCCGTCCCGCTCCTCCCCAGTCCTCGCGACCCGCCCCTGGACTCTGCTGGTCTTGGTATCCCCCCGTCGTGATAGCAATCATGTCTCTTTGTCACCTCGCTCGTTCCGCACCGCAAAAGGCGTGTGGCTTGGTTGCTTGTGTGGGTGGCCAGTCATCGTGTGAAGTGGCATGGACCGTGTGCCGCATCCAGGCCCGTCACGCGGACCCTGTTTACGCTGTCCCTGCTGCTGGTGTAACCCGCGTGTGACTGGCGCCGCGTGAGCCCGCGTGTAACTGGCGTGATCGGCAGGCCGACTCGCTGGAGCGGCGCGAGGTGCGCCAGTTCCAGTTCACGGTATGGCCCGACCACGGCGTGCCCGACCACCCGACGCCGTTCCTGCTGTTCCTGCACCACGTCAAGGCGCTGAACCCGGCCGACGCCGGGCCGATGGTGACGCACTGCTCGGCCGGTGTGGGCCGCACCGGGTCAGTGGGCGGCCCGCTGAGCCACCGGCAGCCCCGCGACGGCGCCAAGCCGGCCACGGTGGGCCTCATCGCTCCGGCAGAGGCTCGGGTCGCGTTGCGGGCCGTGTTGCTTGTAGGGCTGCCCTTATGTTAGCCGTGACATCTTATTCACAAGTTGTTGGCGGGGAGTGGCGGCGCTCGCAAGTCTGGGGTTCAGTGACGCGCCGCCGCCGCTTGTCGGGCGGCAGGTGTGCGGCGACGCGCGCGTCCACGCAGGAGTCACGGCGCTGACGGCCGCCTCCGGACGGCAGGTGCTTCATCGCCATCGACAGCATGCTGGAGCGCATCCGCTCCGAGGCCACGGTTGACGTCTACGGTCACGTGACTTGCCTGCGAGCCCAGCGCAACTACATGGTGCAGACCGAGGACCAGGTGCGCGCCGGCTGAGGACACGGCCGCGCTCCGTCTCAGAGCGCGGCGCTCTGAGACGGACACTGCGGGTGTGGCAGAACTCCTAGGTTAACGCGGAACTCTTCGTCTGGAATGTGTTGGCCGTGTTCCGATGTGGTGGTGGGTCATGCCAGCGGTTGGCTGCCCAGTGAAAGTTCCGTTCGAACTGCGTCACCAGCATCTTCCCCGGCTGGTCTGCTCGCCAACCCAGGTCTGTCCTGATGCTGATGCTGGTGCAGGCTGTCACGTGCTGTGCTGGGCGCCGGCTCGGCCGGCCCCCCGCTGACGTCAGCCACGGCCCTGCCGCCAGTACATTTTCATCCACGACGCGCTGCTGGAGTCGCTGGTGGCCGGCAACACGGAGGTACCGGCACGCAACCTGCAGGCCTTCACATCGCAGCTGCTTCCGCCGACCGGACCCGGCGACAACATCACCGGCATGGAGCTCGAGTTCCAGGTGCGTGCGGCGCGCGCCGAGCGGCGGCGGCTCCGTCTCCGGCCGGCCGGGCCGTCCTGGCTCCGGTCAGGCATGGTACCGGCTCCAAACTTGCTTTCATACGTCACGCGCAGTGAGCGCCCCGTGCCTTGCGTCCGTATATTTCTGAGCGTGTCTTTGACACTGGTTCCGGTGCTGATCACACCTGGTTCCCTAAAGCCGTGTTTATCACGTCATCACAATAGTGCGAGTATAAGTATATATAGATGCACCAGTAGGTCCATAGCAGAATGACCCGATACACCTGAGCCGGGCAAAACAGTGAACATAAAACGCGCTGACCGTGGCGGTAGAACAGAGAGGCAACAGACGTATGCTCTTTCTACTGCACCTGAAGCTAAACCGCAATCAGCACGCTGGAGCCGTGGATACCGGTCCCTCGGTGCGTCCGGAGAACGGACTGGGCCTTGGCGGCTGAGAGGAGTTCTAACTTCTCGGTGAATCACATGCGTGGACGCGCTGTCACTTGGACGCATTGTCACTTGTTGCCCGTCGTGTGGTTCCATAGCAGGTGCAACGGCGCGCCCCGCCCCGCAGGATCAGCACTGGACTGGTCCCGCTTCGCAGGATGAGCACTGGACTGGTCCCGCCCCGCAGGATCAGCACTGGACTGGTCCCGCCCGGCAGGATCAGCACTGGACTGGTCCCGCCCCGCAGGATCAGCACTGAACTGGCCCCGCCCCGCAGGACCAGCATGTACCGACGGCGTTCGCGTACCGAGCGGTGTCCGAGTACCTCATCGCGCTCGACCACGTCGAGCGTGGGCCGCCGCGACGATTGAGCGAGCGAGCCTGCCGGCCGGGCGCCTGCGACGGTGCCGACATATCAGGGCGGCGCGGCCGACTGCAGCAGCACCGCCGCCAAGGCCCACATTTCCCCTGCCCGCGACCGCCATACGTGACGTGATACGGCGGGCGGCCGGGCTCGGCCATGCGCACAAGGTGCTGTACACAAGGCCGCTGTACATACGCCCGTTGGCATAACGAGAGGTAACGTGCCGCGCCGCGGTGCGGTGCGCCAAACATGTGTAGGATGTTGTGGCGGCGTGCCCGTCGCACATACCAGTGACGCCCGCCTGATGCATGTTCGCTAGCCGCGTCCCGGGCTCCGCTGCCGAGTCGACAGCCGGAGCACGATCCTGATCTTTCTTCTGCGTTTTAGATTATCTGTACGCTGCATTTTGTCGGCGAGACGGTTCGAAGGGATTTTATTTGCACATGGTGTTCGTCTCCTCGTGACGTGTCGGCGGCTGGCGTCACGGCGACGGTGGCGGCGCCGCCAGGCCCTGCGTGCCGGGGGCCGCTCGTGCGGCCCGTGTGGTCGGGCGCCGAGACCTACATTGTATTTTTGAAGAAGGCGTCGTCTTCTGAGAACGCGTTGCTTGGAATTCAGGAATGTATTTCTGACTGATTGGCGTGATCCAGCAGGCAGTGCAAGACACACTGCAACAACACGAACGGAGCGGCACGAGTTTGCTGGCGGTGTTTCTCTCTCGGTTAGAGCACACCGACTGCGCGCGCTGTCGGTGTGCTCTAACCGACTCTCGACTATGGTGATCTGCGCGAGTTAGTCCGGTCGCACAGATGTGGGGATGCTAACGAAGCACGGTGGCGCCTGGAAATTTTCACATCTTGTTCTTGAACTTGGAGTTTTGTGCAGGAAGGCATTTGGCGCACGCAAAGGAACAAAGTGAGCCATTCGAGGAGCATACGGATCGAACCACATAGTGACTGAGCTGCATTCGACATCTTGCGAAATAAAAGATGAACACGTTAACTCATTGTGCCGATTAAGCCAGTGCCATGTAGACCTTCTACACGAGTACGGGATGCGTGAAGCGCCACTCCGAACGAGCTCTGCATCTGAAGCACACAAACAGCGTGATTCTGAAAAAAACAAGCGAACTTTCCGGCGAGAAAATGTTCTCAGCCAACTTGTGCTAACTCATACAGACCTCCTGAATGATAAACAAAATGCGATGTTGGATTAAGCTGGCTACGCTCAACATTCTCATGCGCAGCATCCAGAAACAGTGCCTACCAAATAAATGACAGAGTTATCAAACAGCTATATCAGCCATCGTTCCGGCCTGGCCGACGGCTGCCTTTGCTCTCTGACCATAGACTAGTCTTATCACATTGATACGGGGGAGGGACACGGCCTCTCTGCGGCGCCGATGTGCGTGGCCTCGGGACACCGGACGCGTGCCAACCAGCTGCAGCAGCATCTCCACCAGCGCCAGCGCCGCACGGGCCACCAACAACGAGCCAGCCGGCGCCGAGGCTTCAGCACAGGCTCGAACATCAACCAGCGTCTGCGGACAGTGGACGGGGCGCGGCGACTGCTCCGGACGTGGGGCGGCGTGACTGCGGTCGGCCCGTCCCGCCTGGCTCCTGCCCGGCTCGCCCACGTCCGCGTTCGGCGGCGGCGGCGCGCTGCCCGTCGCCCGTCCGTCGGACTGCATTGGCAGCGGCGCCTCATCGGGACAGGATCACGCTCACCACCAGGATCACCCAGTTGGCGATCTTGTGGCAAAGCGGGCAGTCCGAGCCTGTGACGGGGAGGCCGTGATCGGCCCGGCAGCCGTGACGGGTGACGTCCAGCACGCCCAGGACGTTCGGGGGACAGAATTAACATAAAACATGTTTTCATTGTTGTGATGATAACGTCCAAATGCCGAAGGTGCTGGGCGTCATTGCTGTTACGTTTGTGATCACAACATAGCTCGTAACAATCACACCGCTTCACCAACGTGCATCGAAATCAATGGTATAGTATCTCAATGACCCAGCACGCACTATTCCCCATAGACCCGAGCTTTGGCTGTTCCGATGGCTTTCTGCAACACAATTTCTCAGACCACATCAGCTCGAACGCCCTCGATGTGTCTAATGACACCAATGCGCACTGGGACTCGAAGACAAGTGACAGGTGATACCCGGCAGCGACACGCACTTCAGCTAAATGTCCCCCTAGAGACGCCGTTCCCAGCAAAATGCGGCCCAGCTAAGCCGAAATTGAACCGAGAAGCGTTTGCGTCTCGCCATCTAAAAACCACGCCGAAAATTCGCTCAGAGTTCCGGCAATCAACGCAGCTATGAAGGGCGCGCCGCATGCAGTGGCAGGTGGCAGCGGGCAGGCCGGCCGGCGGCGGCTCCTTCCGGGGGCACACGGGTCTAGCGGCGACGGAGCACGCGCTTACTGGCGGCAATAGCGCCGACGACAGGGCGCGTGGCACGAACGATGGCAATATGCGCTGACAATGCCGACAGATGATGGCGATTATCTGGCGCTAATCTGGTGACACGAGCCGTTCGCACACATCCGACAGTGGTGTGAGCGGCACGATCAAAGAGAAAGAAGAGACGCCGACAAAATCACTCCACAAACGGCCTTCGCTATAATGCAACAGTTCGAACCACACGTGAAAATATTTCGCTGAACGGTTGGCGTGGTGCGTTTGCTGTAATTAAGAATCTTAGACAAATAAATGCGAGCACTAGAATTATGCAAGCTCGCTAGGCGAAGAAACGCGGACCGATGCCTGATTTCCTGTCATGCGGGCAAGTGATATTCATCCTGGATGCCTCCCAACATAGTCAGTCTGCAGAACACATATCGTGGACAGAGTGCAATGGTTCTGTATCTGTCGACGTCCGCCGAAAACCAGGGCGAAACCTTGGCAGTCATGCGACCACGACATCGCCAGCTGCCATCAGCCGCTGCAGATCCGGGCCAACCGAAGCTGACCCGCACGCGCGGAGGATCAATTCAGCGTCCTGGCTACAACTGAGGCAAGCAAAACCCTCCTCAGCGTCATACACACGCATTAGGCTCATTCATTCACGTGCGACGGTGACCTGTGAAGTATAACCTGTACGCTGTGGCCGATGCCCGCCTACGCCGGCTGGTGCGAGTAGCGCGCTCGACAAAGACGGCACGCCGTGTCTGTGACCACCGAAGCATCCCCAGCTCCTCTGCACATAAGTGGAACGCTCGTCTGCCTAAGCCGGCTCGCGACCCGCTGCGGCCATTTTCGACGCTGAAGCCCTGCTCGCGCCACAATGACGGCGGCCGAGCCGGGCGCCCGGTACACGGTTCCACGCAGTGCACCGCGTCTCTTGAGACAGTTTTTCGGTCAGCGCTGGATGAGCCGTCCTCGACGCACTGCCTCCGCAACACCATCAGCGAGTATGAATACAGAGCGCCGGGCGGTGACTCCGGCAGATTGAAATGTGTGGCGGCTACGAGCGCCTGGCGTGCGTCGCCGGCGCCCTCTGTGGACTATTGTTTTTGTCGCTGTTTTCACGGCGGCAAAAACGCCGGCCACGTCTCGTCGGCGAGGGGCACAGCTGTTGACAGGCGGCACACGACCTTGTGTCAACCTTCGAATGGGACGGCCGCTTTATTGGCAATACGCAGCCGTGCCGTGAGAAAAACGACCTCCTTTGAGAAGCCATGAAAGCCGAATTGTGAGGATAACTCATAATTCAGCGGTTTCGCCGCGGCCCCTGGCTGTCGATCTGGCGGGAGGTGGGCGGGAGGGAGACGTCCCGGTGACCAGATGCTCGGAGCGGGGGAGACGCCGTGGAGCCTGTGCGGTACACCGAGCGTTGCCGGCCACCTGCCGACGACAAGGTCCTTCCCCTGACCCATGCCTGCCGTCAGCGAGGAGGCACCCCTGGCGTGGATGGGGCACAGCACAGTTTTTGCGGCGTGCGACTGTTTGGTGGGGCTGGTGTGACGCTATTGGACAAACCGGACTGCACGGGCATGGTAACAGTCTCGACGAGGGACTACCATTACCGCACTTCATTGATCATCAATGTCTGGGATCACCAGCAGGATCCAATTTTGCCTGCCGGCCACAAACAGCGGAAGGCGCCGGGCGCCACAGAACACCGGCGGCGGTGGGCGTGGAGGCGGCCGGAAGTCTTACTTTTCCGGTTGGTGGTGGTGCTGTCGAGCACATGCGACACCTCTGGCGGCCGGTCGCCGACGGCGCTGGCCTCGCGACTCTGCCAGTACGGCGGCTGCGCCAGGTCGATCTGTGCCGTGCACTTGAGCTTCATGGTGCCGCACTGGAAGTGGTGTGGCCGCACCCGGAAGTGGAGGCCGGCCGTCACCGACTCAAGACCGCCCTTGTGGATGGTGAGCGGCCACAGCTTCAGGTGCTCCAGCGCCGCCTGGACGACAGACGAGCACGGATCAAAACGACGCCCTATTGTCTCCAGGACGTAGGGGGGGGGGACAAGGGGAGGAGAGGTGGCTCAGAGCGATGTCCGACGGCAGGCACGGCTGCCTCTCCAGGACGTAGGGGGGGGGGGAGGACAAGGGGAGGAGAGGTGGCTCAGAGCGATGTCCGACGGCAGGCACGGCCGCCTCTCCAGGACGTGGGGGGGGGGGGAGGAGGAGAGGCGGGCCCACAGAGACAGCGGAGCACTCATAGTCAATAGCACGGTAGCGGCCGACCGGTCAGTGAGCATCTCCGCCCCCGCTCCCGTGAGCCCCGCGAGCCTGGCACTCGAGCTCCCCGGGCATCGGCGCCCGCGCTGCCGAGACTAAACACAGACAGCAGCGCCATCTCTGGGCTCAGATCTGAAACTCGGGCTCACCAGCGCGCCACCCGGAGCCGACATCTGCAAGGTCGAATCCACCACACGACAGAAAGCGCATTAAACAAATACACTTGTGAATTGCACTGTCGTGCGCAGTTGGCTTTCTAACATCGTGGTTCGTAGGACACCAAGGATTTCAGCCAAAAATATTTTCCCGAAAAATTAGAAAAACTTTGAGATAATTGATGCTTACATATTTCATCTAAAGCTTGGCGATCATTTTTTTTTATTATGGCCAGCGAATCTAATCAGACGGAACGCATCGTAGATTGCAGCATATGCCCTGCCAATTTTTCGATCGTGTTGTCTGTCTTCGTGTTGTCCGTGAGCAAGGCAAGGCACAAAGGCACAGGCAAGCAAGAGGACAGGCAAGGAAGACGCGCAGTAAGGCACCCTAACGACGAAACTAGACGCTTGCTCTGCGTGGCTGGGTGGGCATCACTGGCGGCGTTCTGGCGATCACAGAAGACCATTTGGAGACCTGGCTTCATCGCTAATGAGTCGGGGCTTATAGGATATCCAGGATTTTTAATTTTTCGAGGGTGTGTTGGTCTTCTACGTTTCCAGCCTCATTTTGGAAGCTCAGTGCGTAGCCCCTCCCCAAAATGGAGTGGCGTAACCGCCGTCCGTTTTGTAGTGTGCGTACACACGGCCATAGGGAGAGGAGGGGAGG